GGGGGGTGGTGTTCGAACGATGTGGATGTGGATGGGGCTGCTGGCGATACTCGTTAGGGATGGGGGATGGATGGGTGTGGTTCCCTCTCCACGCTAGCCAGATGATGGAAGAAGCACTCTGGATGCTGGCGATCCGAAACATTGGATCCGAATCGCCAAGAATGCATGGTCAAAAAGCTTGGTTTGCTTGCTTGTTTGCGCGCGGCGCTCTGCTCGCAGGGCCCGCAGGGCGCTGGCTGCTCCCCGCGTCCAGCCTCCGATGAGTTGAGATCGTCATCTTTTCAGACCGCATCCATGGCAGCAATCGCCCCCCCCCCCCCCCCCCCAAAAAAAAAAAAAAGTTTTGGGTGACGAGTCCCCCCTCCCGCTTGTCACAAGAGCTCTGCAAATAACTCTACACCCACCCACCACGGCGTCGTAACGGATTCATCGCGTCTGGTCTGGTCTGCTCTTCCCAAACATCCCCCACCCACTCAGGGAGGAAGGTCGGATGTGTGTGGGTGGGAGGAGAACAGGTGCTTTTTCCTTTCTTTTTTCTTCCTTTCTTTTTTCTTCCTTTCTTTTTTCTTCCTTTCTTTTTCTTCTTCCTTTCCCCTCGAGCCCTGGTGTGTGGCACCATATGTATCGTTCTGCGCGATGACGACGACGCTTACTTGCCCGACTACAATCCCCTACAATCCTCGTCTATCGAGCAAACAATAGGTAGAGCCTTTCCCTTCTTTCTTTGCGCGCGCGACGATGGCACTGACACCCTCGCTCCCTCACCCTTCATCTCGGGCTCCCAAATCTAGCTTTCTCAAATCTCGCTCCGTGGGGCCTGTCAGGCTGCGCCGCTGCGGTATGGTATTCCGCTCAGTAGGTATATACCACGATTGATCATTACTTACCCACTACCCACTACCCAGTAGGGGGTTCGCTATGTAACTTGTATGTAAGTACTGAGCACTTACTTGGGTAGCCCGCGCTGAGACACCTCAGTCACGAGCCCCCCATTCCCCCTCCCCTTCGCCCCCCCATTCGTGCCCGAGTGACTGAGTCGAGCAGTGTCGATGTGCGGAATTGGATCGCGTGGTATGTAGCTACTACCTATGTGGGTCTGCCAATTGCCAAACAAGCCAATCGGTGGGTGATAAAAGGTTCCTCGGGGATTCCAGAATGTGGAATGTGGAATATTCCGTTATCTGGTGCGAGTACATATTCTGCATAGTATCTATGCAAGCAGTGTACAGACATACAGGTGCGCATGGGTATCTCACATGTCACCACGCCAGCTATGCATGGAGCATGTACCACTCTACTAGATAGTAGAGTAGGAGTTCTCCGTCTCGCAAATACATATATCCGGGCGAGGGGCGAGGGGGTCTGATGAATCGAACGGTACTACATACGGACTGCGCTGCGAGACTGTGGGCGAGATTGCTTCCCGAGACACCCCCGACGACGACGGCCTGGGAGGCTGGCAGCTGTTGGTTGGTTGGATGGATGGATGGTTGGGAGCTTGGGAGCTTGGCTGAAGGCAGTAAGCTGGCTGGCTCTGGTATGTACATACGGTACTGTGCCTATGCTACTTGGTGGTGGTGGTGGTGGTGGTGCAGGTGGCAATCTTTGAAAACGGTGGGCGGGCAGGGCAGGGGAATCCGCTCATCGTTAACATACATACCGTACGGTAGGTACGCATCGAGCGGGAGGCTTCCTTGTACTCTGGTATGCCTAGTACATACTTCCGCTTAGAAGGTGTGGGGGGAAGCTTGTATGTACCGTACTACCGACGTACCGTAGGCATCGGTAGGAAGAGTCCCGTCCTGAGTCCTGATGAACGGCGATGCGGTGTTGGGGCGTGGACCATGGAGGTGTGTAGCATATGTAAGTTGTGGGCAATTGCGTATTCGGGGCGGGTGATGGTGAAACGCTGCATGAGACTTGGGGACTGACTCGGGAGAAGCAAAGTAGAGTAGAGTACCCTACTACCGGTATGTACAGACACGACGAAGCCTTTCCTTCCTTAATCATCAGCACTTTTCTTTTCTTTCTTCTTCATGCAGAACTTCCAGTTCCTGTTCAAGCCAAAGATTATGTATGAATTCCTACCCAGAAAAGTCCATTGCGCGCAAAAACTCCGGTATTCACATAAGTAAGTCGAGAGGGAGCAAACACCGCATCCAAAGAGTGGGAGGCGATCTTTCCCCGACGGGGAGTTATGTTATGTATTGTGTATTGATTTGTCCTGCGTCCTTCTTCCTTCTTCGTAATTGTTCTGGGATTAGTTAGAGTAGCCGTGCACACACCTGGATAGGTACTTTCCACCTCGATCCGTCCACACCCGCAGACGCTTTTGGGAAGTGGGGAAGCTGGACTTAGCCGTGGTGTCTGAAGTGGGACTGTCCGACTCCGACTCAGACTGTGGGTGCGAATAGGTAATGCACGTTGGGTTGGCTGGTGCTGTGCAGTCACCACTGACCAGTGTAAGAGCCTCAGAGCTCACCCTCGTCCCCGTGGACGACGGACTGGTTCTACATACATACCGTACATACAAAGGTAATCGCGATCGTAAGAACTGGTCCACAGCATGTCCCCCGGCGTACTTACACGCCTATTCTTCGTGGAGGGTGTGGATGTATGCACGCAGATCGATGTTTGCTTCCCGTAAATTGGCGTGGGTGTCATTGTGACATGTCTGGCCGCCCCGCCAGCGTCACTTCCAGTTGGACCACCACCACCATCTCGCTCCGCCATCGATCTTTGAAGCAGCCTGTGGCCGACGATCGTAGACTCCCTCCCAGCTAGAGTAGAGTAGCGACCGCTCCTGACAGAAGTCTAGTAGGCACAGGAATGCCAACATCCGCCGTGTTCCAATGGTTCGTTAGGCATCGAAAAAGCTGTTGCGAACGGGCCGTGAATCGACGAGCGACGGTGCCCGCGACAAGCCGGTCTGAGATGGAGCAATATCTAGAAGATCGTATCCGAGTGAGCAGTGTTTGCCTACTCTGTTGCGACCTTCGATTGTGAGCCGCGTATGTCGTCCGGGAAACTATGTTGAAGGACCGACAGAATGCGATCATGATGTAACCATGAACTCGTTCGTTCGTCGTTTACCAATATAAAAAAAACAACCGTGTCTACTAATAGTTGACTGTTGGGTTGGACCTCCCCGCCACCGTCCTGATCCCCCACTCCCACTCCTACATGCTCCCACCCCTTCCCTCCCCCGATCGGCCCAGCCCAAATGAGCATTCGCCGCCTCTCTCGCAGTACAGTACTGCACCTACTCTACTCTACTCTACTCTACTCTACTCTACATAGAGATGAGTGAGCCCGAGTAGAGTGGAGTGGAGTAGTTAAGCACTCGAGTACCGTAGATACCTACTAGCAGACAAGGCGAGAACGCCACCAAACTGCCGTGCAAGACACATGTATCTAGTAGGCACATACGAAACTCCGCTCAGACGGCGTTAGTGACGGAAATCACTCGTTTATTCCACTTGGGGCGTAGCCCGGCCCACCTCGTAGATCCTGGTTTCTCCGATGCGATTCTGCCTAGAGTAGTTATCGACAGCTTTGCGAGATTGAAAAAAAGCTTCACCCGTCCGGATACAAGTTAGTGAGTGAGTGAGTCCCTGCGCATAGAGACTAGAGCACCTAGGGTGGATACATGGACTCTCCTGAGGCGCAGGCCCTTGGTGGGTTTACGGATGGATAGAGAGGGAGGGAGAGAGAGAGGGAGATACCTAGAGAGAGGCGCGAGAGAGAGACTCGGCGCCTTACATTCTCTCGAGTCCAGTACAAAGTGCTCGGCGCCTTGAATCGCTTCCATTCGGATTTCCAGTCCAGTGCTCGGATGCGAATTAATCGCCAGGGCTTGCTGTGGGCATGTGGCTTAATAATCGATGATACCAGGTTTGCGGCGGACGACTCTGAGCAAAAAAGTCCTATCGAATCGGGTTCCGCACTCGCCTGCCATCCTTGTCCTCGCTCGCTGCCTCTCTCGCTCTTGAGTTCTCTTTCTCGCGCTCTCTCTCGCTCTTGAGTTCGTCAGTCAGTCCGTCAGTCAGTTCAGTCCGTTGCTGCTCAAATTCCGCCGAACGATTCGAACGCCGAGGGATCTTACGCATTCCGACAGCTAAACTCTGACTTGTCCGGTATAGTAGAGCGATTGGCCAGTGGCCACTGCCGTAACCACCACCTCCACCACCACCACAACACTCCTGCCTTGTACCTTTTTTCCAATCATCTTCTTTTTCCCATCCCACACCCCTCATCCCATCCCATACCCACCTACCTTCTTACTTACCTGCCTCCACCCGTGCAACACTCATATTCATCGCAGTCTCACCGTTTCCCTGCCCCCACCCATCCCCCCCAGATATTCCTTCGGTCTGCTACCTAACTGCTACTGCTGTGTGCGGTCCCGCTGCTGCAAGCCTCTACCCTCGATAATAATAATCAGAAATCCTGCAATCTACGCCCAATCAATTTTCGCGCGCCTTCGTCGTCGTCATTGTCCGCAGCCTCGAATCGGTCTCTCTAACCCACCCACTACCACCCCCTTCCCTCACCCACCCCCCCGGCTTGTCTCATCTGGGAATATTGGTTGCCGGGCCACCCCCCCCCCCATTTCCTTCCTTCCACTCCGGTCGTCTGGAAAGCTGTGTTGAATACTTCAGCTCCCAAGCTTTAATTCCTCACCTCTCCGCCAAACACATATTAGAGTAAAGAGTCCTCGTCTCGCAAACCCCGGCCGGCGCTGCACGGAAACCTACACTTACGCCCTTAACCCGCCGTCTCGTCCCCCCCCTCCCGCCCCGCGCTCGCCTGTCCGGAGAGAGAAATACCTTCCATACTTTGACCGGCAAGGCCCTCCGAAAGCCAAACGCGCAATGAACCACCAATACATGGCCGTCTCCGACGACCGCTCAACACCGCAGATGTACTCGGGAGACACCTACGTGCCACATCTCGGCTCTACGCACTCTTCTCCGGAAGGCTTCGACGACGAATCCAATATGCTTGTTAACGGGTCCGGTTGGCAGCAGCACATTCCTCCGCACATACCCACCACGCCTGCATCCGCCGGCAGCAACACGTCCTCCGTGCCGACGAAAATCGACGGCCTGCCGCAGCAGAAGAGAAGAAGAGTCACACGCGCCTGCGACGAGTGTCGGCGGAAGAAGATCAAGTGTGACGGCAAGCAACCTTGTACGCACTGTACGGTCTATAGTTATGGTTCGTGGGTAATCTTTGCGTCGGGGGTGGCGCGCGCGCGCGGGACGTTGGTGCGGAGAAAAAAATAAAAAGTGAATACCCTCAATCGCTAATCTCAAAGAACTTGACTTCATAGAATGTACATATGACCAGCCGTCAAATAGGCGTCGAAATCCCGCACCGGTGTACCTTGAGGGCCTTGAAAATCAGGTCCAGCGCTTAAAGCAATTGTTGAAGATCTTTGCCCCCCACCTAGACCCCGACAACCAAGAGTTGGACATCTCGAAGGTACCCACCGGATCTCAAGCTCCGGCCGCTAAACCGCAAGATTCGAAAGGAATCTTCCCCGGTGTGAATTCGGTCGGACTATCGGCGGCAGCGGCAGCGGCGGTGGACAGGGACTCCCGGCTGGACTCGATGGTGGAAGCGACAGGCCGATTGGATATAGACGAGGGACACAAGGTGGAATTCCACGGCCATTCCTCTGGCATGACATACCTCAACCAACTGAACAGTCAGTTTGGAGGAATTTTGGGCGAAGTGAGATTAAACGCAACCACTTGGCCTATGCCGAAACCACCGAAACTGCTGGCGCAGGATTCGCCTCATTCGTCGTCCTACTCACCACCGGAAAACATTTCGGACGTAACATTATTACCGCCGAAAGAGACGGCGGCGTCGTTGGTGGAAACGTGTCTGGACAAGGCGTGCGTCTTGATGCGCTTCATCCACAGGCCGTCCTTCGTGAGCATGATGCATCGTCTCTACAGCAAGAGACCGGAAGACTATGATGATGACGAGAATACATTTCTGCCTTTGTTCTATCTCGTCCTGGCAGTCGGTTGCTTGTTCGTGGTCGATGATGATGCGGCCGAGGGGTGCGAAGTGGGCGCCGGTGATGCGTAAGACATCCAGCCCTGCATACCGCGGTTCACCTCCGCCCAACCACATTTGCTGATTACCAGTAGATTAAAATACTTCAATGCCGGTCGTCGGATGATTGAGATGACGGACATCCGCGACATCTACTCGATCCAAGCGGTCCTCTTGATGGCGATCTACCTGCAATCATCCACGAGGATGTCGACATGCTACTCGTATGTCGGAATTGCGCTGTGCGCTGCGGTGAAGATGGGTATGCACAGGGCAGTCCCCGATGCTAGGTTCAATCCTATCGAGAGAGAAGTAAGAAAGAGGATATTCTGGACTTGTTGGAAGATGGACACATACGTCGGCGCCATCTTGGGACTACCGAAGGGAATTGCGCCGGAAGACATCGATCAGGAGATGCCGGCGGAAGTAGACGATGAAAACATCACACAAGACGGAATCGCCCCCATGAAGGATGGTGAAACGTCGACCATGGCCGCCGCAAACGCGCACATCAGGCTATTAACCATCATGGCGAAGACGGTCAAGTGCATATACCCGCTGAAGGGCGTCGAGGCAAGCGTGGCCGGGAACAACCGAGGATACAGCGTTAGTCAGATGCAGTTGCACGAGATCGAACTCGAGTTGGCAGCATGGCTAGAGTCGGTACCTGCTATCCTCAAGCCTGGAGATAATACTCCTAGAGAGTTCCTGCAGTAAGTGTCTTGTCGCTTGTGAGTACTTGCGCTAAACGCTCAATGTCTACAGGTGTCAATACCTGCTCAAAATGTCTTTCGCCCACGTGCAGATGATGCTGTACCGGCCGTTCGTTCATTACATCTCACGTTCCGAAGAGCGGCCATTCGCCATCGCTGCCGCTTGTGTGAAGGTGTCGAGGAATATCGTCAATACCGCCGAGGAGATGCGACGGAACGGCTTGCTGAACGGAGCCTACTGGTTCACCATCTACACCACCTTCTTTGCGATCATCACCCTCATCTACTATGTCTTGGTAAACCCTCCCGACAAAATGTCGAGAGAAATCTTGAAGGACATCATCACGGGGAGAGACTGCCTAGTCAGCATACAAGAGAAGAGTGCCGCCGCACATAGATGTATCAACACGTTAAATGTGGGGCCAAGGATCCACTCTACTCCGAATCTTGGAGTTGGTGTGCTAACCGGTTTGCAGCCGTTGTTCGAGAAGGCCTTTGAAAGGATCAGTAACGCTCCGCCTCTGGCTCCGGCTCCGGCGGAATTGGTTCCTCCGAAAAAGAAGAGGGCAAGGGCACTTTCGGGGGCCACGGACGCGGAGGGCGAAGATGGAGAGTCTCCCTCGTTTCACGGTCATTCCAGTCCGGGAACGGTATCTCCTACCGAATCCCCAGTCCACCGGGTGATTGCCACCCCAATCTCGCCGACCGAGGCCAGCAAGCGCCTATCTACTCCCCCCAATGTTTTTGGTACCAAATTCACTGTCTCTCCTGATCCAGTCAATCGAAGACGTTCTTACGATTCGTACCAAGCTGCAGATTACAATGCGCAAAACTCGGAGTCGCCGAACCAGCAACCACCAACAACGTCGATGGGCTTTCAGACAACTATGGCCGGCAGCGGAATGCCGGATCTCACCAGCATGATGTTCCCGACGAACGACTTGTTCAGCTTCGTACCGCACAACATGGTGCCGGCCGTGCAGCAACACACCACAAAAGACGAACAGACCAACCAGATAAACTCCCCAGTTTACCCAACGGCGCCCAACGGCAACCAATTCGGCAGTCTGGAGGGCAACATCCTGGGCCCGCTACCGCCGTATCTCCTGCAGGGCCAACAGCCACTGATGGGCGATTACCTGGGATCCGGAACCCAGTCGCAAGGCCAGCGCATGGATGGCAACGGAATCGACACGTCCATGTCGGGACAGTTCTTCATGTCGAATGGCGGCGGGGGAGACACGATGGTGCCGGATTTCTTCCGCGATGATTGGGACGACACACTCATGCAGCATTCCTTCCGGAGCACGTAAACCACGAGGGTACAATCATTCGATCGGGGCGAAGGTTCCACCTAGTCTTCTCTTTCTCTGCATTAAAAAATTGGGGACTGTAGCGATGTTTGGGGTCGTATTTACACACAGCCTACTCTCCCCATATCTTGTCCATCTTTCCTTATTTCACCTTTCCTTTCCTTTCGTTTTTTCTTTGTCATACTTTATAGAGGATTTTCGGGGGGGTCCATGCATGCTCGGGTTTATCTTTATGTTTTTTTATCTTGTATCTTCGGTACGGTGCGGTGCGGGTTTGGCGCTTCTTTTTTTTGTATATTTCATTACCTATCTTTTGCATCTGGTCAGAAACTGGCAATGGCAATGGCATTGGTAACTATTAAATCTCGATGTGTTACAAATTTCTTGATGGGTTTCAAATTTCTTGCTGGGTTCTTGGTAGGTTGAAGTCTTGTGTCGGCTGTGTCGACTGTGTTGGGTGTGGTGGTTATGAGTGATGAGTGATGAGGCATGAGTGATGGGACATGAGGCATGGGGCGTGAAGGTCTGTTGGCTGGTTGGCTGATTGGCTGATCAGCTGGTTGGCTGATCAGCTGGTTGGCTGATCCGCTGGTTGGCTGATCCGCTGGTTGGGTTGGAATGGGATAGTGGGGGATGGGATGGTTCGGGTCGGGATGTGATGGGATTAGACGGGTTAGTGGGGGACAGGATCGGATGGGGCGCGGGTTCTAAGGAGTATGTATGCGAATACATGTATTTGAATAATGGAATTGCGTACAGCCGTTCAGTTGTACTCTACTCTATGATTGTCGTGGCTAAATGGGTTGACCGAATGGGTTCAGCGAGACGTGATTTTCTGATTCCCCGGATCTCGACTCTCGAGTGAACGACAATCGCAATGCTTGGTGAACGACAATGGCTGCTCAGTGCTGGCTGGTGAACGATAATGGCAATGGCAATAGCAATAGCAATGGTGAACGATAATGGCAATGGCAATAGCAATAGCAATGGTGAACGACAATGGCAATGACTGGTGGACGACAGTGGCTGCTGGATCTCGAAGTGAACGACAATGGCAATGGCTACTGGATCTCGAGTGGACTACAATGGAAATGGCAATGGAAATGGCCATCGTAAGACTGGCTATCGTAACTCGTAAGTACCGGCATGATGCTGCACCGGCTAGCTGGCTAGCACAGCTTGAGGTTGAGGCTTGAGGCTTGGATAGCTACGACCACTACTCCGTCGGAGATTAGAGGCTGCTTAACGCATCAGCAGGAATGAGTCATCGCAGAAGTCACCGCACCTCTCCCTTCCCCTCCTCACCCTGGCTTGGAACTCACGGCCAAATGTATCGCGGGTATCACATTATATCACTCACTCACGCCTCCGCAACGGCTCCGCAAGATGGGTAGGTACAAGAATGAGTCATCGCAGAAGTCACCGCACCTCGAGCTCGCCCATGGCTTAGAACTTCGTCCACGCAATATCACTCACTCACGGCTCCGTAAAATGGGTACTTAGGTGCTCATTCACGTTTCATCATTGCACGTACTGCTCACGTACTGCTTCTCCCCTTGGACTTCCAACTTCCCAAGCTCTAGCAGACCCCCTCCCTACCCCCTCCCGTCCATCGCCCATTCATCCACCCATTAATCCACCCATTAATCCAGTCTGTACAGTCCATACAGGTCCGTACACTCCGTAGAGTCAGACAATCCAGACAACTCATACAAGCAAGGAGAAGCAGTACGGTACTCTTTTCGTTTCATTCATTCCCACGAGCTACAACAACCAGTTCGAGCTCTCACTCCTCAAGATAAGAATACACAGCACATCACAGTAAAATAAGTACCTATCGGATCTCAAAGCAACAACGAACAACACAAGTCAAGTCAAGTTCAAGTTAAAGCAGACATGCAGATCACCACCACCTATCCCAAAAAAATACAAACGAAAAACGCACATTGAATCCAATCCAAGCCAAACCGAGCAAGCAAACGTAGTAGTCAAACAAAAAAGGAACCGTAAACACCTTGGGTAGCAATAAAAACACACAGGAAAGAAAAATAAAAAAACAAACGGGGAGAAGGAGAAGCACGCATTACCAAAGCACACTGGCGGTAAAGAGAAAAAAGAAAAGTAAGAAGTAAAAAAAAAAAAGTCAAAGGTGGAATCCTCAAGAGCGCTGTCTATGACTCCATGCTCCCACACAATCGACACTCAAACAACAACAAAAGCACAAAAGCACAATAAAAGATACGTAAAAAGAAACGGGAATCATAATCATGCCCTCCCCCCAGGCCAAACGGAACCGAAATAACTCCCATACACACACACACACACACACACACACACACACACACACACACACACACACACACACACACACACACACACACACACACACACACACAAAATACACACACTTTCTCTTTCTCTTGCTTTCACCCCCAGCCGTAACTCCAGTAAAATCCTCCAGCTTTCAGGTAGTGTAGTGTAATACCTCCGAACCCGAACAATGCAAAGTGAAGTGCCCTAGGAACCGAATGAAGAAGGAAGGAAGAAGCAAGCATACAGGTGGGGATCTGCTAACCCTTGGAAGTAGACTAGACAGATGCTGTCTGCCGTTTCGTAGGTACGTAGCTTGCTTCTTCAAGTCCGGGTAATAGAAGGAGCTTTGGGTTTCGTCAGTCAAACCAGCCCCCTGCCTGGTCTCAAAGAAGCCTATTACCACTACTACCTCCCCCATCCAAGAAAAAGGAATAAATCCAAATAAAAAAAAAACCTCCCCCACTTCTCATCATTCTTAGCCAGCAAGAGGTGGCTAGCCAAACAAAACGCTCACAAAGAGGGGTTTGTTTTTCCTCCATCGTGAGTGTAACCGATCATCTCTTGACTCATTCGATAGCGCAAGCAAATGGTTCGTCGTGTGTGTGCATGTGTAGACACTGATGCCATTGCCACTGTCGCTGCCGCCGTACAATAGCCCATCAAAGTCGTTCATGATTCCGCAGTGACCTTTTCTTGGTGGGAGTCCCGGCACTCGTAATCTTCCCCGCTCAGCAGGGGCGACGGTAATTCGAGTGGCGATGGGCGGTCAACATTGATGAGCGGCTCAAGTATTCTTTCGGCACTCGGTTGAGGCTGCTGAAAGAAGTTATTATCAGCGGGTGGTGTTGGGTACGAGCCTGGCGGTCGTGATAGATATGATTGCGGTTGTGACTGGGCTTGGGGGTGATGTGGTGTTGGTGCTGCTGGTGGTGGTAGTAGTGGTTGTGATGGCTGCGTCTGCGCCTGATTCTGGGTTTGCGCCTCTGCAGGTGGAGGTAGAGGTGGTGGTGGTGGAAGAGGTAATCGCCTTCGGATGGTTGGGGTTTGTGGGACGGTTTCAATATATGAGCGTCCCTCGGCTGTCGTGAGTAACCTGATGTTACTGCTGATGAGAGGTGCGACTACCCTCCGCACTCTCCCAGCAACACTCTTCCCGCCGGTTTCTGTCTCGTATATTCTGACTCTCGGGCACGGAAGGGTCGGTTCGATGTCGAGATCAACGGAGGGTACACGTTTCCGCTTTCGTTTTCGCTTGGCGGAGTTCGTCCCGATCTTACTCGGGTCGACCACGATGTCGTCGTAAATCATATCCTGCTGGCTCCAGCTAGCATTGTTCCAGAGTAATTCCGTCTCGATGGTTTCACCCCCCTCGTAGACCCGATCCTCCTCCTCGATACGAAATCTCGATTTGGTGGCCTCCTGGATTTGATACGGAATCTCCCAGATGCTTCTTTCCTCTTCCAGCGTTGGCAGGAAGAGTCGCTTTATCTTGGCCTCGACCGATGCAAGCATCTCTGGCACGCCGCACGGAAGCTTGTAGTAGCCCCCTCCGTCCAACATCCCGAACCAAGCCAGATCGCAGGTCCCACTCCTCTCATCGATCCAACAGAGTAGCTCGGCGGGAACCACCCATTGGACCCAATCCATGTTCTGCCAGAACCTGGTGCGCCACGTCTCCTTGATCTCGTGCGGAACGCATCGGTTGGGGTAGCTGTTGAGAAAGCTCTCGTAGGCTCGGCAGAGTGCGTATTTGGTCGACGGGTGGAGGCCGATGAAGATGATGTCGTCTTCGAAGTTGATGTGAAGGACGGTGGCTTTAATTTCGGGGATGACGGAGTGCTTGTCGTAGAGGGAGCGCGGCAGTCGGATTGGTGGTGTCAGGATGAGATGTGATGTTGGCGCCGAAAGGAGGGTAGAAAGGTATTCGTAAGGATCGGATGTTTGAAACGAGGCGAAAAGAGCGACAACGTATGGCGGCGCCGGGTGGGCGGGGACGATGGCCACAGGGCCGTCCATTGAAGCGACGGACGAAAGACTTTTTAACTTTTTTTAAGTTCGAGGGTGGGGGTGTACGTAGAGGTAGGAGGTGGAGGTAGGGAGGGGAGAGGAGGGAGGGAGGGAGGGGGGGGCGGGGAGGAGTGGAGGAGGTTGAGGATCGGAGGTGGTATGTGGTCGGGTGGTAGTGGTGGTGATGGTAGTGGTGGCAGTGGTGGTGGTGGTGGTGGTGGTGGTGGTGGTGGTGGTGGTGGTTGCGGTTGCGGTGGTAGCAGTGGTTGGTGAGGTGACGTTGAGGGGGGATGGAAGGTGTTGGATTTGATGCGGGTGCGGCGACGGGGGGTGATCCACAGCTTCGGGAATGTGTTTCGATTGGCGGACGACTAATCGGAGGAGGAGAACGGAGAAGGGAAGGACCCCGACGACAACGGCGAAGTCGATGACGGCGAAGTCGATGCTGGCGGGAACATTTTTTTTTCCTCGCAGCGACGGCGGGCGAGTTGTAGTTTTTCCGATCGACTTTTTTTGTTGGCAGAGTACTGGGCAAGGCAGCGAGTAGTGGTAGTGAGTGGGTGAGTAGCGAGTAGTGAGTAGTGGAAGTGGTAGTGGGTAGTGGAAGTGGTAATGGTATGGTATGTGTGTAGAGTATGTAGTTGTTGCTACGTTACGTTGGAGCGATGTTGGGGATTCGATCGGTGGATTGATTCGGCCAACACTGCCGATTAGGGGGACGTGAGGGATTCCGACACAGCAGAGATTTCGGGCTCTCTCTCTCTCTCTCTCTCGTTCACGGGGAGGAGAGATGGAGGATCGGAGAAGCGGTGGTTGCCGCCGGTACCTGGCGATGATGGGATGAGACGGGAGAACCGATTTTAAATTTTTCTCTCTCGCCTGTAAAGGGGCTGCGGGGGGTGGGGAGGGTTGGGGGTTGCTGGGTTGAGCGAGAGAGTGTGAGGTTCGAGCTCTCGAGTGTATGTATTGCGCAGTGCGTGTTGGTATGGTTAGTGCCGCCGCGGGATCGAAGCAAGCTGGAGGGAGGAGTGATCTGATCTGATTACAAAGTGAGTTGAAGGCTGACGGGCTTGGACGACATGGGAGGTGGGAGGCGCAAAGGGCGATTGTCTGGATAGAGTACGGCTGAGGTTGCTTGGCGCCGAGTATCTTTTTTCCCAAGAGTCCGCCCCAGACTGTGCGGCTGTGCTGACGGTGGTTGTTCTCGTCCTGTGGCGCAGCTTTGCTGACGGTGGTAGTTCTCGTTCTTGTTCCGCGGTGAATGGTAAGTTTGAGAGTTGTGAATGACACGCTCGAGAGTCGTGGGTACTTTACGCCTCGAGTGAGGGCTAGGGGAGGACGAGCTGGGCTGCATGCTCGAGACTCAATTCACGCGCGCTAGCGTCGAGCGAAGTGGTCGTCGAGCCTCTAGTTCACCAAAACCCCGAGCCATATCTCGTGGTGGTAGTGGTATCCAGCTGCTATCGGTGCTTCGAGGATTGCGGCTCCATGTCTCAAGGAGCCATTGATAGCCAATGCTCCGAACTGGCAGTCCGGCACAACTGTCCTTCCAAGCGATCCAAGCGATCCTATCGATGAAACCATTCGAGGGGGTAGTCGCTCTATACGCTCCAAGCTGTCAGCCGTTTCATCTACACGGTATGTAAATAGGTTCAAGTAGTTGTTGAGCGGCCGATGTTAAAGCTAACCCTCGATGTCTCAACCGTGAATGTCCAATGCGCATGCCGGGGAACCGTCATGAGTAGGTAGTCCGTGTAAATACCGTAGATACTCTACATACCGATCAACACGCCGCAGCTTCAACCCGGATGCCCATTGCCCACGAGCATCTACGGTATCCTGCCCTTCCTGAGATCTTCACCCCTTTGTGCAACCCCTTCCACCGTATCCAGCAATGCCTTGCAGCGATATCTTCCCTCCTCAGCCTCCCACCCACCGCCTCCGTTTGTTTCACATTCCCTAGTAACACTAGCCCCGTTCCTAAAGTTCGGAAAGTTCCACGCTGGTGGTAACTAGACGCTACATACATGCTAGTGAACAGGTACCGCCGCACCCTCCGATCCGAATCGCGCTTCGCTCCCCACCCTCCCACCCACCGCAGCCACCACCACCACCCACAGAGTCAGTGCATGAGATGCTCCGGATCCGGCTCCGGCTCCGAGATTTGTCTATTCGTCTATTTGTTTGTGGGGTACATAGAGTCTAGTACCCAGGTAGAGTAGGTAAGTGGGTAGAGCACGCGCAGCGCGGCGGCGGCGCGGCGGTGCGGGGGAGCTGGTGGGTGCGTGGGTGGTTGGATCTACCTACTCTACCTTGGTAGATACTCTGCTCTACTGCGCGGTGCTCTGCTACGCGGTCCCAAACATAGGTAGGATTTCACCGCGGCCGCCTACCCCCACGCGTGTTTAGATATCCCCCCTCCCCCCCTTCCCCCCACACACGTGCCTGCTAGAGACAAACCCCCCACATTCCCAATCCCATCCCAATTCCCAATTCCCAATTCTACCCCATTCCACGATACCGACGGAAGTCAATTCCATCCTTGCGGATGCGTTCTGCATACACGCGCACGCGCGCGTCCCCCACAGTCTCAGCTTGCTCTATGCCCTTTGCTCTTTGCCATCCGCGCGTGGCAGTTCTGGTCGGGTGCGAGTGCACCAGTGTGCTCCGAACCTCGCAGCCCAGGCGCGTAACGAGGAGGATGAGGACTCTTCCGTAGCTCGCTGGTACATAACTGCACACCCGTAATCCACAATGTCTTCTGGCTTCTGGCTTCCGGAGGGGAATATCTACTTAGATGTTTTCCTTCCCTACGCGCCAACCACAACATATCTATCCATACCTATACATCTAGTACTAGTATGCGTGTCTGTTCCTAGTGCCCACTCAGCACCTGCCTGCCGCCGCCGCCGCGCCGCGCGTGTAAACTGTGCGGGATGCTGCTATGTACCGGTAAGTACGGTAGGCATTCGCCGTGCTGCTGGATAGACACGCGGTGGTCGGCCGCCTTGCCCTGATCCTCATCCTCGATCCCCCAGTCGCCCTGGACGGCAAGACCATACATACCCGATAGATAGAGTATGCTGCACATGTTTCCATGCTCCTCCTCCAAAACCCGAAGTCCCTCCTTTAGAGCACGCGATCACGCCGCGGGCTCCAAGTTCCAAGCTCCGAGTTCCAAGCCTCCAACCGTATGTAGGCGCATCCAGAGGTAGCAGCTTGGACCGCCAGTTAAGACCGCCAGTTGGGAACTTGGAAACTTGGGACGGATATCACTCGACTCGACTCAACCGCGTCCATTCCACTGTGGTTATGTAACCAAGTAACCAAGTATCCAAGTACGCGTCTCGTCTGTACGGTAGTCTTGCCTCTGCCTTTGCTACTCTACTCTACTCTGCCTATTAGTGCCAGGATCTCCTCTTGCAGTAACTATAGTAGCACACGAGATCACTCGCTCGCCCCCTCCAAAAGCGAACACCCGTATGTACGAACACACACACACACTCTCTCTCAACTCCCAGGCAAAAAAGTAATGTTTGAACGTTGGTAGCAGCAGCAGCAACACACGCATCCCGAATTCCGCATCCCGCATCCCGCAGTGCATCGAACACAACAATAGTACAGTATACACTACCACTACCGGTACTACATAGAATAGAGTCTAGGTAACTCCTTTCCTATATCCTCTCGCTCGCCCACTCTCTCTCGCTGACTGCTCGCGGTGACCGCTTCCCCAAACTCCCCAGATGCTGCCCTAGAATAAAAACTAAAAAAAAAAGCCGCAATATGAAATCCCTTTCAGCAAAACGAAAGAACGAAAGAAGAAGAAGAGAAGTTTTTCCAAACCCTATCAGAAAAAGAAGTAAACGTGAAAAGAAAAGAAAATGTGTGCAAGTGAAGCACGATCATGAAGAAAGAAAAAAGAAGAAAGAAAGAAAAAGGCTACAAAGCTATCTACAAGAAAGAATGAAAGAAAAAACCGGACAGAAGACTGGAAGGAACCAACCAAACATTTAAACGCCAAATATTGGGATCATTAATATGAAGACACGTTAAAAGACAAAGTAGGAAAAAGAAAGAAAGAAGAAGAAAAAAGAACTACCCGTAACCCCAGAAAGCGTCACGGGTAATGGAAGATGAAGATGAAGAAACAAGAAGTGAATTTGACGTGGTTCTCGTCGGCTCGCTTTCGCCAGGAAAAAAACAGGCGGAATGACGATTTCCAATACTGCCCAGCTACAAAGCCTACCCCTCCCACCCCTTCCCTCCGAATCCCGCCTCCACGCTGACTAACAGTGATTACACTATATCCTCTGTAAACTTTGAAGCTCGAGATCCATCATGTGACGGCAATGACCGGCCAAGTCCATCTCTACCAGCACTGCTCCCAAGTTGCGGTCGCATTATATAATCGGGTGGTGGTCTGGGTAATGACGGTACGGGTGTCATTTCCCGCGGGACATCGTCTTGCTGGTCACCTTCATCTCGCTCTTCCTGTATCTTGGTTGGAGGCGGGAAGGCAGTGGCCGCGCCGCCCACGGGACTTGTGGGAGATGCGGCAAACGGGGTCGTCGAACTTGCAATGGTGGGAGCCATGGATGTCACGGTGTAGCCAGAGAACCTGGAAGGGCCGGGGCCCGTGGACGATGTTGGGGTCAGTGGGCCTTTGGTACCATCGTCGTCGTGAAAGTATGACTGTTGGCCTTCCATCGAAGGTTGACCTTCCTCCATGGCGCCTGATCCACCGGGACGTGGCCCGCCAATGACGGGCGGCAGCTTCCGGCCGGTTCCAGCGACTCTGTAGAATCCACGCTCTTCTGCAGCTGGCTCGGGGGCTGCGCCTTGAGCTGTTCGGCAACGTATACCGAAGAGACCGGCGGCAGCAGCGAACGGGGTCATGTTGGTTCGTTCCGACATGCCCCTTGAGCCAGGTGGGAGTGGACCGCCGTATGCTGCTTCGTCGCGAGCTGCTATTGCCTTAAACTTCTTGTACCGCCTGACGGCAAACAGCAACGCCACCAGAATCAGTGCAAATCCCGCGAGACCTCCGAGGATCCCCCCAACCAGTACGGGGTTGATACCGGGCGCCGAGTCGGATGCGGTACCGGTGGGCGATGCAGTAATAATCGTGAATCCTCCGCCTGTGGCTGTGGCCCCAGTGCCAACCCCGGCTCCACCATCGGTAGCCAGTATTATCGCAGACGATGATGGCTGGGTCGAAGTAGTGCTAGTCGATGTTCTGCTAAAATTCGTTGAGCTCGGCGTTAGAGGCGAACGGCTAGATGTCGCCGTGCTGAAACCAGACGCTGGAACGGGTGTTGGCGAAGCGATTACGATTACTGTTCCATTGCTGGTGGTGGTGGAGAAGCTCCATGAAGTGCTGATGCTGGCAGTCGAGTTCTGCACCGGAACGATGGGCCTAGAGATGAAAGAAGTGATTGTTGCGAGGGATGGCGTGGCGGTCGCAGAGAAGCTACTGCTTCTGCTGCTGATGCCGCCGACACTGGTGATAGTACTAGACCTGCTGCTAGTGATGAAGCTGCTGCTACCGACACTTGGGTTCACAGCGGCACTGCTTGGACTGGAACTTGCGCTTGGACTGGAACTTGCACTGAAAAATGGAGTCGACAGCGAATTAGGCTGCGATTCGGCAGGCGAGGGTGGCGGCGTAGAGCTCAAGACAATCTGACTTCCACTTGAAGATCCCACGGAAAAGGTATTAATTGTAGTAACTGTATGTGTAATTGTGGTTGTTGGTGTCGAGGTGGATGATGTTGCGGTTGGTTGGTCCTGGGCCGGCGATTCCCGGCTTGATGACGACTCTTCTTGTAGCGAAGCAGCAACTACGCTCTCGGGCGTATCCTGTCGTCCGTGCAGGTGTCCATACAGAAAGCGCAGCCCAGCGTTTTGCATTTGTCCGGCGACCCGATTTCGCGGAGACTTAGAAAATCCCCGATCCTTCGTGCCGACCCACTGCACAATACTTCCACCCAAGTCCTCGTCATCGTCTGTTTTCTTCCCAGACTTAACTCCACTCCCACCTCCTCCGCCGCCGCCTCCCCCACCCCCTCCGCCGCCTTCGTCTCTCGTAGATGTCTCTGACTTCTCCATATTCCCAAGTATCCGAGGCAGCCAGCGCTACCAGTCAAAAGGTCTAGAAAAGACCCGTCACAAGCTGAGTCGTAAGGCAAACTGAACCGAGACGTCCGGAAACCACCACTTTATCCGCCACTAACCGTGGAAAAGATCGTTGCAGTATGTCGACGGTGTAGATGCTTCCTAGTTGAGACCTATCCTTCTCCCTCCTTCTCTCTGTCTCTTCTTCTTCTTCTTCTTCTTCTTCTTCTTCTTCTTCTTCTTCTTCTTCTTCTTTTTTCTTCGTATCCTCCTTGGTGATCGGCGAGACCAGTCGCAGCTTGGTACAAAACACTCAAAACCCAAAAATCCGGAGTCGCGAACTTCGTTGGGGGAATTTTTCGTTTCGGACGCCGAAAACGAGTGATTGGCGAACGAGCGATTCCGGTGGGGGGAAGGGTAGGAGGGATGGATGAAGGTGTCGTGTACTGTTATCGTGGGTTGTCGAAGCCTAGGAGCGGGCTCGGTCGCGGGTGTGCAGGAATCCGAATCAACGGTTTACAGGCTGTTGTTCTCGAACCGGTGTCGATTGAATGAGTGGAATGCTGGAAATCTAGCTGATGGAGCTGAATAGAATTGCGACCGCGCAAAGGTCAGCAGAAGCTCTCGCTCGTTCGGGACGACGACGGACGGGGTGGTTGCCGAGATTTTTCGTGTCGTCGCGCATCGAGGATTCCGTGTTCCCCATCCCGCGTCATTGCCTACGACAGGAACGGAAGAGGCGCAACCAACCAACCCAGCAGCGCAACGGAACAACAGGTGGTGGTGGACTTACCGATGGGGTGATGCATGAATGAGCGATGCAAGTAAATTGAAGATTTCGACGGGGGTGTGTGAGCTAGACACCAGTGTAAAGAGTGACTGGGCCACGAGCAGCTGTAGCAGCGCCGGGCGGTGGTGGGCGAAGGGTTTTTTGAAAGGTGTTGATTATTATTGTAATTGTATGTATGTATCGTCTCCGTTTCGATGGAGTTGGTTTTCTGTCCTTCTATCCTCTATCCCAGACGGACCAGAAACCCCGTGAGAGAAGCGCGTACGGGAGAGAGGGAAGCGCAAAACGAACAGAAGGGGGAAGGGGGGGAAAGGGAGAGTGGGGGGGGAAGGAGAGTGATGGGCCGATTCGCGGAGGGGCGACCTCGAAGGTAGGAGGAGGAGGAAGGGGGAGGAGGAGGAAGAGGAGGGAGGAGGAGGAGGAGGAGGAGGAGAGAAAGAGGAACGGCCGCTGGGGTTTCAAGCAAGACGACAGGCCGGGACTGGCTGGGTTCGTAGACGCAATCTGGGTTCAGCAGATGTGGTGGTAGTGCTGAATTAAATTATGCGCCAAATAGGCAAGCGACTTCGGGGCGAGTTGGATGGATGGAACCGTTCGAAGATTCGGGTTCGGCAGCAAACACACGCAATGCAATAACAGCAGAAGCAATCGCAGGCGGCAGGCAGCCGTTAATTAAGATAAGTGTAAGTCGGGCAAAAGCAGAGAGCGAGCGAGAGAGGTGGGCAAGTATGTGTGTATGTAGGTGTCGATAATCTCGTGCGGCACATTCATTCATTCACTCATTCCGCACCGGCGCCAATGAAGGATGCGAGAATTGCAGGTGTGTAGAGGGTACTCGATCACAAGTGTCCGCGCGCGCAGTTCGGCGAGGGACGGCGCTCAGTGAGTGGAGGGCTGGGGGGGTGGGAGGGGGAAGGTTATTGGTTATTGGTTATTACAGGAGCCCCAGCGAGCGGGAAGCTAGAGATTAAATTTCTGAGAACGAATTCCAGGTCAACGGCGAGCGAAAAAGTACCCACTCAACGACGATCGCGACGTCAGTCGGAGGTGGTGGAGGTGGAGGTGGAGGTGGAGGTGGAGGTGGAGGTGGAGGTGGAGGTGGTGATGGCTGTGGTGGTGGTGGATGGCTGATTATTGTCGACTATGGGTGGACCGCCGGGGGGTGGATGGATGAGTGAGTGGGTGAGTGAGCGAGCGAGCGGAAGTGAACGGACGAGCAGAGGGGACAGCGGACGGATTGATGGACGGACTGACGGACAGACAGTCAGACAGACAGAGTTTAGACAGACAAGCGGACAGACAAGCGGACAGACAAGCGGACAGACAGACCAGCGGGCGAAACGTGGTTCTTGCTCGAACGAACGGACGGGCTGGCTGGCTGGCTGGCCACGGGTACATGTACTCTACTGACTCTACTTCTTGTCTCTGCCCCGCTGTCGAAAGTCTGCATGTCTGTATGTACCTGGGTTAAAAGTCAACTACATGAATGCCTACATGAACTGCGACTGCCTTACTCCTCCATAGCCTCCTTCGCAGTTGAGCGAGCGAGCGAGACGGCCCAATTATCATGGCTTCACCTCGCCATCTCTCCACTCGGCTGCAGCATTTCCTCGTGAGCCAAGAGATTATTTATAGCCGTCAGACCAGCACTGATTCCTGAACCAGTGGGCCAGTCAACCCACTGATTCCTGAACTAGTGGGCCAGTCAACCCACTGATTCCTGAACCATACCGGAGCCATCCCGTATCGGTGCAAGGCAATCGTGATCCACGCACGGCTCGATGGAGTTGCGTTTCTTTGGGTAGGTGAGAAACGAGTCTGCAGAGTCTGTCCTTACCGATGTAGTCAACCACTCTGCATACAACTCGTACTCTATTCCCGTGCCTAGGCTCGCTATCTACAGCTAAATAGATACTTTAAACTCGACAGGACCACGCCGCTCTCGCCCTTCGTTTGCGCGGCTTTTCCGTCGTCAACATCCTCGATCGACAATTGAGGGGGGGCATCTGCCTTCTGGCTCGTGCCCACCTTCGCGCATCCGCGGGCGGGCGTGCGGTGGCCTAAGTACATAACCAACAGGTAAGTGACTACTCTCCAGCTGTGAAGTCTACATCGGTACTTACCTAAGTGCTATCACCATACATGCGCCCGCTGCCTAGTCGATAAGTCCCCAGGCATCTGCACTGCTGCGCGCGTCCGATGGTGAACGAAGACCGAGAGGAGGGAAAAAAGGAAAGCGGAAAAAGGAAAGAAAAAAGAGGGAGGGAGAGACTCGAGTTTAACCGACAGCAGACTCGTGCTATGAAGAACTCGCGAAGGTGTCGTCGTCGCCACTGGTGGGTACCTGGGTACCTGGGCCAATGTCCCCCTGGTATGAGGCATGTACCATAAACTCCAGGTATGCTGGTTATCTACTGGCAAACGATGGCTGCGCTCGCGTGTCGCATGCCACTTCCACGCCCACGATGACCGATGACCATTGACCACCACCCACAAAGTATCGAAATACTTCCTACTGGCTGGCTGGCTCCAGACTCCAGAGACCACTACTAGTACTGGCTTTAGAGACGGGACGTGGCCGTACCTACATAATCTACGTACCTCCCCATCCCAGGACCAGGCCTGTGGAACCATCGTGGCTTCAGGCACCCGAGACGCCGGAAACGGACCGGAACCACCAGTCCGCCCGTCCACCAGGACCACGACGGAAGGCTGCTGAGTGCTGGCTCTCCATAGTGCGTACTCTAACCATACTCTGTATACTATGCTCAAGCCGATAGTTGAAGGGGGGGATCACTGATCAATCCGTTGCCGCCTTTAGCCCTCCCCCCTCACTGCTCGTCTAACGCGTTTGCACAGATCGTGACTCATGCACCTGTCAGTCAGTCAGTTGCACGCACATGAAACGGAACGGATCGTGCAAAAACCTCTTTCAGACCCGCAGAGCGCCTTCGGAGGTGTAGACAAGGTGTGTGTTTCGCGATCGAGGTTGCGCCGTGGTGGGTAGGGGCTCAGGGCTGTGCTATATCCGTCTCCGTCTCCAGCCCCGTCCCACTCCCACGCCTTGCTTCCTTCCTGCCTGCCTGCCAGGCTGCCATCTGAGAGGTCCACCATCTACATAGGAGTCTGGGAAACCGCCACACTCCAGCCCGGCAGGTGTTGCAACTTACTCTATATTGCACCTGCACGCTTCCGCCCGATAGTTACTCTACTCTACATACCTTCCTTCCTTCCTTCCTTCCTTTGGCTTCTATGTAGAGTATTTGCTCCAATCACCCACGACGCATGCGCATGCAATACACACATCCTAGAGTGCGTACTGTACTGTACATACATACGATGTATCTACAGGGTGTGGTAAAGTTTCCTTCTATTGCTACATAGTCCCCCCGAAACGATCGCGAAAAAGGGAACTCGACCCCGACTCGACTCGACCCGACTACGGGTATTTCGTCGCCGACAGCATTAGGCATTAAGTAAGCCGTTGCCGTTGCCATGGCGTCGGCCATGGCGTGGCCCAAGGCGCTGGCCAGGGGGTTGGACGGGGGACGGGGGTGCAGAGAAGAGCATAAATCACGAGCTGCGCATGCCTTACGCATAGATACTCGCATGCTCGCAGAGTCGCAGTGGAGACTTTTGCGACCAGTATGTAGAGTAACCACCAGCTGGCCACATACATCCCAGCTGGACAGGAGGACAGGAGATCATTGAACTTGCATACGCTAATTTGCCATCGTGCGTACTTGCGTACTTGCGTAGCGCAATCTAGATTTGTTTTCTTCCTGAGGCGGAACGATGGGAATGGTGGGAAGGTCTGGATTCTGGATTGATCGCGGTAACTACAGGGTAGGGAAGTGGTGGTGCAGGTTCTTGCACTGGGGATCACTCGCGGAACTGGAACTCAGCTGAAATTTGAAAACGGGGCCAGCCAAGAGGTCGACACTCGACATATGCGAGGATAAGATTGATTCTCCCCTCCTCTCTCCCTACCTCTCCCGGTCGACATATCTAAGGTATGCACACCGCGGTGCCCAGATATGGCTTTCGTGTATGTATGATACGACGGCGCCATGGGTACCGTAGATTAGCATACCGTACCGTACCGTATCCGCAGCGAGCCCAATGCCCAATACACACTGCCTACCGGTGCAGTTAGCATGTACGCAACTTGCCCGCAACAGCCACCAGACCAGCGGCCAGCCTTCCAGGAGAGTACGTCTCCCAAGTCCCAGCAGTGTTTCCTCCAACCTCCAACCTCCAACCTTTGCTCGTCCACCACCCACCGCCCACTACCAGTCCACCGCAAAGGCTAAACCCGTCACCCGTATGGCCTTTCGTTTCCGTTCTAGAATGGGTGTCCGAGCCCGGCAGCCCATCGACAATGACGACGATGGACGATGTAGAGCACACTCGACCACACTCGACCATCGGCCAGGCCAGGGGAATGACCATGCGAATGTTGGTGGCTGCATGAAAGTATGAAACCATCGTCCGATGGATGATGGATGATGGATGATGGATGATGGATGGTGGATGCAGAGTACGATAGCGGTAGCGGAGTACTCTGCCTGGGCGCTTCGAGTGGTGAACACCCAAGTACCCAAGTACCGGCACCTACTCCATGTGCCATATGGAACCATGCCCGCCGCACCAGCTCCCCCCGTCCAATCGGCCAAGCACCGTCATAGTGCCCGTCCGCAGCCTGCCCAACGCCCAGTATGCATGCCTCCCCAATCATAAGCGGTCCCGGACAGATCCTCGCGGCAACTTTCTCGTATTCGCGGCCAATGGTCGCACCGTGTCCCTCGCTCCTAGGTACGGTGTACGCCAATCCTCCGTCGACGTTTCTACATGCCGGGTTCGGTAGGCAGCAGTTACCAGGCAGCAGCAGCTGGGTATTCGTCGACCGGCATGCCTGAAAGTCATTAAGCGCGTCTGACGCCGATCCAGGGCAGCCAAAGAGCCCACGGGGGGAAGGATTCTGTCAGAGTGACGTCCGCCCATCACCGCCCATCACCGTCCATCACGGTTCACCCCCCTGCTCCGATAAGCATGTGGTGGTGGGCGGTGGACGGCGGACCAATTACTGACACCGAATCTTCGAATCTCCGATGCATGAGGCTGGTTATGGATGTGGATGTGGATCTGGATGTGTGCATCCGTTCCATGAGATTCCATGATTTATCCATCCAGCCATTCTCGCTGGCTGGCTGATTGGCTGCGACGACCAACGGTAACCACTCATTTCCTTCCACTGTGCATGGCAGACTTTGGCAGTACAACGTCATTATTTCAGTCCTCAATTGAACGGGCGGCACCTTTGTTTTTCCTCGAGAGAGAGAGTTCAGTGGCCGCTTTCCTCGAGGGCTGAAATGATATGTCGGGTGTGCAATACCTATATGCATCGCAATGTTTCGATGCTTCGGTGTTTCTTGACATGACTGCTGCGGCTGCCGGAATTGTGTTTTGATTTGTAAGTCCTACATCTCAAATACACTCGACGTCTCCGAAGAAGCCCGCATACCAACCAGTCGAACCAGTAAACAAGGAACTGGATTTCCCTTGCAACTTGCCCCTTCCGAGTCGTAAGGTAGGCTAGATCATAGGATCGGAGGCTGTATCCGTCTTTCAATGCCTGCGATGGCAAAGTCAATAATTCGAGACTTCCGGGATGCGGAACTGAACTTCTGCTTGCAATACCTCAATAATTGAGCCGCAACGCCTCAATCCATCGGATCCTCTTTCACAATCACCCTCTGCCAGTTTTTGGGAATCGGGATGCTCCCTTGTGACGATCGTATTGAGCTGTTTCTCGATCCTCATTCTTCGTGACTTCGTCTGGATACCTAGTGGAGATTTTTAACGGGCTCTAGCAATACATCTAGTTGAGGTCCTGAGAATGCTGTCTTCGCAGCTGCCACGGAGACGGCCTAGAAATCACGCCGCGGCCCGTATCGGGAGGCTTCTGGAAGATAAATTATGAATCAATCCGCCACTGCCGACTCTGTTTAATCCGCCACTCCTCTCACTGCCGAATCTACGTTCATCATTTCCGTCACTTCCACCACTCATTCCCTGCCGGCCCTCAGTCCCCCCAACGATCACCGAATCACCGACGGTCTGTCAGTCCCTGCGCGAGCCTCACAGCCACCACCTGCCAACAATGAACCGCCGACACTGTGATCTCTCTTATATTGACTCTTGAGTGCGGATGATGATGTTGATGATGTTGATGATTGTCATGAAGGATACGCCATTTTTTGCGGATACGAAGGGTTGCAATACAACATGAGCTAGAACCATGCACTGACGTAAGGATGTAGCTGTCAATATGGCCAAAGGAAAAAAATAGATGGTGGTATGAGAGCCTAAAACCGTGTAAGTAGCCTACTAGCCGGTTGGTGGACTGGTGGTGGAAGGCTCTGGCGACATTTGGTCGATAGCGGGTCGAAAGCTCTGTATTTATGTCTCTCTTCCTCCTTCTCTCGTAGCTAGAGCTCCTAGACACAAACACACCACTTCTCTCATCCTTCCACCCCGTGATCTCCACCACCATCGATCCGTCCAATACCCTCTCTCTTCCACCCTCAACTCCATACCGTAGCTTCCGCATCGCCGCCGCCGCCAATGCGACACTCCAGCTTCGGGGACGAGTTCATCGAGTTCATTTTGTGTGGCCCGATTGTTGAGCGCTGGGGACCGGAACTGTGGCTGGGCTGCTGCTAGGGCTGTATAGAACCGTCCTCGTTACTGCCGCCGATCCGTAGCACGAATATCTTTTTCTCTACACAGTGAGTGCATAGCGATGAGGCGAGTGACACCACGTGCCCGTACCCGCCCCCCGTGCCCGTGTTCGGATTTCGGTGATGACCGAAGAACCTCGGGTCCTCGGGATCATCCTGCATTGGGAAGTTCTCCGATCCGCATAGAAAAAAACAACTTTATTCTATCTACCACCCGAAAGAAAGAAACGTCTATGTATTCATCGCTTTTGTAATTACAATCTAGATATGACTCCGCTGCGAAACATATGAAATGACCAAACTACCTACCTAGCTGGAAAATGTTTAAGGGTGTGTTCTTCCTTCGCCCTCATTGTCGCCATTGCTGTTGTTGATACACAGGGCTTTGGAACGGTTGCTGGAATGGCTGCTGGAATGTTTGCTGCTGTGGCTGCTGGAACGTCTGTTGTGGTTGTTGTTGGAACGGCTGCTGAAACGTTTGTTGTTGTTGCTGTGGTTGCTGAAACTGTTGCTGTGGTTGCTGTGGTTGCTGTGGTTGCTGGAACTGTTGTGGTTGCTGTTGCTGCAGTGGCGGATTCACCGGCGACGGCGAAGGTGCTTGGTAAGTCTGCCGATATGGCGGGGCGAACTGCTGCATCGGTATCGGCGGCTGCTGTTGCACGTATTTAGCGTCTGGTACCTGAACGTAGCCTTGCGTGGTCGGCGCGGCGGAGGGGGCTACCACTGCCGCGGGCGTGCCGGCAACAGCAGCGGGCGGGGGCTTAATCCGGAGTTTTCGCGAGTAGATGCATGTCACCAAGAAAGCCAACCTGCCGAATGCCTCCATCAATAATCGTCCCCCGCTCGACAGAGGATGTTTTTGGGGCTACGAACAGGAGAACGATCGATAGGCCAAGAGTCGCCTTGAAAAAGACCGCGTGCGGACTGGTCTTGTTGAACACTTCGTACTCTTCCATCACCTTGGCCAGAATCGCCATCCCGATCACCCACATCACGAAGAGGAACATGTCCATCTTGTAGGAGAACACCATCGCCTTCTGCCAGAACCGGACGCAGAGCATGGTGCTCAGAGATACGAGGGCGGCGACAAGGGAGATGACGCTCTACACCATCAGACCATCTCAGCAGGGGATGTTCAGAGTGGGAGGGATACAGGAGACATACCACACCGAGCAAGAGCATCAACGGCATCTGCGGGTCGGTAGGACTCTTACTGCCACCACCCCCGCCGCCGCTGCCGCTGCCACCAGAATAGGATCCACCGCCGCCACCGCCCCTGCCGGGCATGGCCTCGCGCTTGCGTCGATATCCCATGGCATAGTCGCTCTTTGCGATATCATTGCCGACGAAGTAAAACACCAGCGCGCTGCAGACGTAGAGGTGCGCGGCGCAGAGTAGGAGCTGGCCGACCCGGATGAGGATATATGCGATGGGGCGTGAGGTTTTCGTCGTCATTGTTGCTGCGATTGTTGACTGCCGTATCGATGCAATGAAAATGTCTGTCTGGAGGGGAGCAGGCGGCGGCGGCGGGGGCCAAACAGAGGAAGCCGCCGTTCTTTAAATCCCACCAGACCGACTTGACGAATTTTGGCTTCCACCTCCTCTTCGCTCGTATTAATCCCACGATCGCTGCCGTGGGGGAACGTTGGTGGTGTCGAATACGAGATCATTAAAGGGAGGCTTGTGAAACCGCAGGTTAAGCATGAGTTCGTGTAACACTGCCGCAGTAGGGCTGATTGCCGGTTGGATATATAGTCCCGCTTCGGATATCCTTCTCGATTGGAAGCTTAGTTAGCTATAACTGCTGCTATAGGTACGACCTTCGGAGGTGTCCAGAATTCGTTCAAGTCCTGGGGGATGTGTGACACATCGACTGGAAAGGGGTGAAGGCATGTCTACAGGACATCACGTTCTACCTAAGTAGGAAGAGCCTGGAAAGGAGGGATTCTTTGAGCTTTGGTCAGGGTTTGGGGTTATTATGTGGATATTTTGTTGCCCGTACATAGTTGCAGCAGATCATATCGCTTTCAAAAGCTCTGGCGTAGCCATTCAGACCAGAAAAATACCCATCGACCATCGCCCTGGCGGCTTTGACCAACCTGTATTTGCTTTGTGTTCTGCCCAGACACACGGGGCGGCGGGCCATGACGGAGTCGTGTTACGTGCATACTCCTTGGTCTCTCACTCAGCTGAAACCCGAAAGGATTTCAGATTAAACTTTAAAGGCACGGCGGAGACGTCTGGATCTACATTACCGTATCCACGGCTCCGTTACACTGGAGTATTCTCGCTGGCCTATAATCTCGCACATTTGCTTGGTGGCTGAGTTGCTCTAGATAGGTACGACTCACGAGAGAGGTGTGTTTCCCTCGCAGCTCCACCAGGCGCAGGCCTGCGGAATCGGGATCGGTGCCGCAATACGAGCAGGCACAGGCCTTTGTGCATGCTACCAAGAGTTCGTTGGAGTCTCGAGCCGAGTGATCACTCGGATGTATCCCGAAGTGTTGAACACCGTGCCGGCCCGTGTGATGGGCCGTAGGTTGGTTTCGAAGGAGTTCGCGGTTGGGCCGGTCGGGGAGTTGACCGACCGAAAAGCTATCACTTCCTGTCGGGCCAGGGATCTCCATTCACTAGTCCAGAAGCACCGACACGGCTCGGTGCTTCTCATCCTCCAGCAGAAGGTCGGCCGTAGGTGACACCGGTATTGGGGTGATACGGCAAACTGGCTAGGTAGCCGACCCCAGAGCAATATGGTTAGCCAGCTTTCAGGAAGCTTAAACACTGCTATTCCCGTACCGTAGTCGTCAAGGCTTGCGGGAACCGTGGATCTGGTGGGCTTCCACGGGAAAAGTCGATTGAGGAGGGATTCCGGAGTCTGGACATGGCCGAGGAGGATGTTCATCCTGTTCGTGCTGGGAGCTCCTTTGTGGTCTAGCCTACTAGGTATACTGGTGGGGCACACCGAAGACGGAGTCTGGTCGTGTGATGGGGAGCCCCCACATCGGATCGACTTTGCGTTGGCGGATATTAACCGCCCGCATACGGTCTTCGGGCAGACCGAGGGAACTCAAGAAACTTCGAACTGGCCTAGCGCAGCTCGCCAGCTAGTAATGATTACGGCTTCCCCTCCTATGGCGACGACCTAGAGATTCATGTAAGCATTAATACTACTAGTAGGTGGTGGTGCGCGCGGTAACTACTCGGTGTCACTCGCTGCAGGCAACGCCTCAAACTCATGGGCTCTTTTGGCCAGGAAACCCAATTTGTCTTATTGGAGGGGATCTCATTACAGATACCGGTATGCATGTAGGTACTCGTGCTAGGCGAGATGGTATTTGTGGACCGTTATCCGCGACTCCCCGAGACGTAGGTTGTACAGCGTTGTACCAGTACATACAGACAGAAATCTGATATCTATAAAACCTCGTGTCGAGAGCGCCACCAAACTTTCTCCAAATCTCTAGCCTATGTACATAGGAGGCAAAAACTATGGTCCCAATTTAGAGTAACGTCCTATCCTCACGATGCCGGTCCTTCCGAGCACCAGCGGGCCATCCTTGCAATCGAACATCGTGAGTCACAGACAAGCTTAAGCCAACTTCCCGCTTCAGACGGGCAGGCAGATTAGTTAGAGCACCGGAACCCCTCCTAGCTCTCCAGAAGCGAAGTTTTTAGCACTATGATAGTTTAAGCACCCCTTTTAAGTTTTGCTCACACGATACTCTCGGTACGTCGGAAGTATGTATAAGAACGCGTTCCACCACCGCGACTGGATGAAATCCACCCATCCATTCATTCATTTATTTTTTCACGCGTCGAACCGACTCGACCTCCTACGTTCGTTCTTTGTTTTTTGTTTTCTGTTGGTCAGCAGGATCGGCCGAACACGGATATCACTCGTTTTTTGTCCTACATTGCAAATCGTCGAGATGCCTGACGCAAGATGGAGCCTCTGGCTGGCGTTGCCAACACTGCTATTTCAGTTCATTGCACTGATCTGTGTCATCGGCCTCTCCAGTTCTTTGTAACGTCCCCTCCCCTGCGTCCCTATCATCTCGCCATCAAGGACTCCGCACTAACACCGTACCCCCCTCGCAGTATGAACAACGGCTTCGTCGTCTCTATCGGCCCGCTCTCGATCGCGGCTCTCGGCGTGATATCCGCTCTAACGCACTTGATATGCTACGTGACGTCGTCTTTGCACCCGCTCGTGGTGCTGACCATCTCGTGCGAGTGGATGGTGCTGTGGATCGCGACGACGGCGTTTGAGATCGTCATCTACACGCAGGATCCGTCGACGGGATGCGGCAGCAGCGAGGACTTCGACTATAATTACTACTATGGCTACCACGATGGCAGCGACGACGAGAAGAACGCGGAGAACAAACAGATGCTTGACGATTACCGCAAGAAGGTCTGCCAGAAGAGTGGTGGGATTTTGGCGCTGATGGCGCTGATCACGTGAGTACCCCCCTCCCCCCCAACCTGGAGGCTGCAGGCGAGGTGCGGTGGAAAAAAGAGAAGGAGACTGATAGAGGACGTCTGTAGGGTGTCGTACATCTGGCTTGTAGCGTACTCGGCTATCGTCAGGAAGCACACGCGAATGCCCTTTGTGCCGTCCGACCAGAGACCGTTGATGGGGCAAGTGCGACAGCAGCAACAAGAAGATCCGGAGAGGGCTATGGGTACGACAGCAAGCCCCATTGCGGGAGCGACAGCGCGGAGGGCACCGTTGGTGGGAGTGCCGGAGGAGGAAGAGGCAAGGCGCTCGCCGGTGGAGAGGCCGAGTGGGGATGCCATCACTCCCGTCGCTCCTGCTGCATCTGCGCATGCGGGGACGGCGGTATAATGGTAGTAGTTATCTAGCAGAGGCACGGAGGTGTATCATGGTTACTTATGTACATACATACGACGCTTACGTGTAGTACTTGATTAATGCCTAATCGGAAGCTTGGGGTGGGAGGTGTTCGCCATACTAGGCCTGTGCGGTGAGGCTACCTAATAATCCAGGAGACTCGCGGGTCTTCCTGGACCACTTTTGCCCAAGTGAGGCCGACTGGGAGACAAGGCTCACACGAGTCAACAGCCGAGATCGCTTGTTATAGGAACCGAGTGATCACCGCTGCGCCCTCGAGTGACGTAGTCAAGAAATAAGCTCTCGCTTTCTCCTAGAGAACCCTGTGGATCATCTCATGGTTCTGTGGACCACAGTATCGGGCACAGCAACGACAACGCCTCACCATAGGGTATGATTTTTTCCATTGATCTTCGTCGCCCGCATATCAACGATTTCTGACAAGTAACCATTGCAATCATCATCCCATCTCCCATTCCGTTTCATCGATCATGTGACTTCCCAACCCGCCCGCTCCATTCGGACAGCCACACGTCGTCCGCACCCACTACGGCTTACTTCTTTCCGCTGGCGTTTCCGGAAGAGGGAGGCGTGTATGAAGCACTTCCCTTGCCGTCGTTGTAGTAGGAGGAGCCTGAACACCCCATCAACTTTCGCTTTGCGGTATCATAACGGGCAGAACATACCATTGGCATTCGAGTAGTAGTAACTTCCGTTCCTACCCTGATTGTCAACGCTCACCCACCGAGCTTGCCTTCCTCGATGGCTAAATAGTAATTACGTGTTGGAGTAATGGTACGAGTTCGTGTTCGGGGCACTGGAACCGTAATCGCGGCTGCAGTAGTGGTTACCTGTACGCGTGTACCGTGTTAGGGCCAAGGAGAGAGAAAACATGAAATAAGAACGCGGGGAGGAGAGGACCCTGGGAATTGGTGCCAGATCCCGAGTACTGGTAAGACTGGCCGCGGTTGTCGGTAGGCATGTTGACTGCAGTCTAGAGTAGCTGGGTATTAGAGAGATGGAGGATGTGAAGATCGCTGGAGGTGGGGAAATACTGTTTGCTTTATGGATCGATGATGTGAAGATTATTGGTGGATGTGGAAAGGAGTGAAGTGTAGAAGAGATAAAAGAAAGGGAGGTCGAGCTGGTCGGACGTTTTAAGGAGGAGGGGGGGATGAATGGAGACCGGAGCAAGTTACCCTCCCCCACAGCCTTTGTTATTGAATGGTGTGTGCGACAATCTTGATAACTTGCATGTAGAGCACATCCCCCGCATGCAAGGTCATTCGGGCGACGACACCGATGCCGGTGAAAATGCGGGGAAGTCATTGTGCTCCCCGCCCTGCTGTGGCTGATGCAGGTCATGTGCTCGTAAGTGTGTACGAAGCACCGTACTAGTACCTACCACTGGGTCTCTATCGTATGTATGAGGGTCAAGTTGCCTGTGCGGAATGCATAGCGAATCCTGTATTCTTCATTCACCTATGATCACTAATTCCCCAAAATCCATAAAATCCAACATGTCTTGTCCGCAAAGAGGACGAATCGACGTGGATATCTGCAAATTTCAGGGTGGTGAATCGTCCTTCCGGACCCCCAGTCCAATATGTAGGAGACCGTGGGACAGGCTGTCCTGGACAGGCTTTCGCGAGGACTACATAGTCCGTCCAGTCCGGAAAATTAAAGGCTCAAATACCCTACAGATACAGGTCGGCCTGCTCAGTAGCCCGCCTAGCGAGGAGCTGGCTCTCTGACTGGACTGGCGCGGCGCCCAAAGGCGGACGGGCTAGGCGCTTCTTGGCTTGAGCCTACGATGGCTTGAGCCTGCAAAGCCCTGTGATTTGTGTCTGGAATACCAGTTGAGGATGCGCAATAGTAGTATAATAGCTGCGTAAACGAAGGGGTGAAGACCATGGCCAGTTACCTCACACTCGGCCTGTTAAGGTGCTAGCTGCATTTTCAAACGTGGGGTTTCTGACGAGTTGAAGGTTACCAAAGCCGTGGTTATATAGCTGCAAACTCATATGTCCCCTGACGACCCATTCGGTAACCTAAATGTTCAACAGCACGCCACACTTTTGTTTGTATTGTGGCTCCGCCAACAATACCTATGCAGTTTCTCAAATTGTTAACTTGGGGTGAGATACCGAACGCTCGCCCGTCGCCCGGAAACTGAATGTTTCAAACTGCATCTCAATTTTGTGTGGTAGATTCAAAATGCAGCTGGCATAGCGAATCCAACAATCCCGCGGACGACGCCATCATCTCTAGCCACAACACTGTGCGCAGGATTATCTGACCAGCCGGTACCGACGCCCAGATAGAGTAATGGCGGTAATGAACTGCGGTGAAGTCACTGTGCCACAGATTCTGCGGTTGCTAACGCGGGGTCTTTACAAATCCCGCCGACGACCAGCATCCGGCGCTGGAAGTGCTGGTGGAGAAGCTGGGGCACTCGTGGCTAATGTCACCAATGAAGAGACGGATTGGCCTTCACTATTCTCGCTTATCTCTTGCTGCCCTGTCTAGGAGCCGAGTGATCGCCGCTGCGTCTTCGAGTGATGGCACCACAAACAAGCTTTCTTGCTTTCTCCTTACAACTCTGCGGATCATCCCATGGGCCATGGATCGATTTGGACACGTCACCGGCAAACGCTTCTCCATCAAAAGATAGCATTTCCTTTACTCCTCCTCCCCCCCTCCCCCCCCCAACCATCCCCAGCCACCGTTCGCACCTGGGCGAACTTCGACCAGTACAGAATCATCACCATCAAATCTCCCCAACCATGTGATTTCCCGCTTCCGCCTTCCGACCTATCTGCTAGTAGGTACATAGTAATAGTTATATATGAGTTAAGGCATCCGAACTGCCCAAGAACTTCAGCCCTCTGGCTGCGTTCCGGAGCGATCTATACCCTTGTCTTCGCCCTCGGTGATCGTTGCATCCATGGGTCGGAAGTCCTTGGAGCAGTTGACCGTTCTCCGGCAACTGCCTTGGTGTCATTTACGCTAAGCCGAGCTAGTGACTCAACTGCGATGGTCAACATCTCGACATGTAAACCCAAAGAGTACATAATCAACCAATCTTCAGTAATACCTTCCTCGTCTTTCTTGGATATCTTAAACTCAGGGCCGTCTGCAAACGGGGGCTTGGAGGCTGACAATGGCCTTGCAACTGCAGGCGTCGCAGCGTTCTTGGTCTGTCCAGGAGCCAAGTTGAGCCGAGCTAGCGAGTCGGCGGCATCTGTCAATACTTCGATCAATTTGCGCCTGGATATCATGGAATCGTCATCACGGAGCATCTCGACGGTGTCCAAGAGAGATTTTTCGACTTCCGCGGACACCCGTTGGACTTCGGCAGTCACACTGGCGTTGTCGGGCGCGGGAGGCGTGTAAGTAATATTCCCCTGGTTGTCTTTGTAGTAGGTGGAACCTGTTGAACACCCTCAACATCCGCAGCCCATCCCACCACGAGAGGCAGAACTAACTTACCATCAGGGTTGGTATAATAGTAGCTACCATCGCTACTCCCGTTTGTTAATACCCATCTATTGAGCCTCGGTAGCTGGATTTGAGGGGGACACTTACGTGCTGGAGTAATTGTAGCAGTATCTGTTCCGGACATTGGGTCCGTAGTCGCGCGTATGATATCGAGTGCCTAGTGGGCCCGTATACTGTGTTAGAATCGCGCTGCTGAAGGAGAATATGGCGCGAGGGCTCAGGGAAAGGACCCTCGTGGTTGATGCCAGATCCAACGCACTCATAGTGCTGGTTGTGATTGTCGTAAGGCATGTTGACCGGACTCTGGAGTAGATTATCGAGGGCGGTGATGGAGACGGCGAGAGAGAGGGGACTGCTGCTTCTTCGATTCGGTTCAGCGGGGCAGTATTTATGATAGTATTCGCGAGGGATGTGAACAGAAAAACGGAGCAGTGAGGAGCTAGAGGAAGGAAGAGGGGGAAGAGGGAGAAGAGCGGGGGTTTGGCAACATGGCCGTGTAACTGCTACTCTACGCCAGAGGTCTGGTTCGCCACGGCCTCTAACTGCGTGGCCTGCAGGATGCATGTGTAACGTCCTGATACTTGTTTTGAGCACGGACATGCGCACATTCGGCGACGACACCGGTGCCCCGGGCAAAGAGCTGTGATCGTGGCGAAGTCACTATGCCACCGATGCCCGCGGAGGCTAGTAACGATGGTTTTTTACTCGGTTATGAAGTGCTCTCTTTCAGCCGCATACTTGTTCGTCCATGATCTGCGGTACTGCATAGCCGCCAGAAACATCATGCGCTAAGCTGAAACTGCCAGTTCCGCCACGAACCCAAGCTTATCCGCTGAAGGTCAATCTTGGGATGCCTTACGACTATTGGCTATATGGAGCGCTGGGCATATCTCCGAATTGCGGCCCGCCATCGTTGCAGATGTCGCTGACGATATAGTGGTTTACTAAGCGCATCACCCAAGACGCACAGAATCGGGTTTCCCATGGGGTCTGGAAGGAAGGAACAAGTCGTGTTGGAATTCACGTACGGACTATGCCTCATCCTTATGCGTAAAACCGCGTAGTCCTACGCTCCTTCTACGAGCAGCCGATCGTAATCAGTAGCGATATCACCCGGAATTCTGTCCTACCGGTACTTGCACACTGAGAGATCGCTTGCCGGGGTGCCGGCTGGTACGGTACCGGTAGTGTTCCGTCGCCCAAAGTTGGTACACTGGTACCTACACCTCATGCGCTTTCGATTGGCAATGGATGTGGTACCGTGGTACAGTGGTATGTAGCCTGGTAGGAACCATTGAGGCTAAATCACAACTATTCACTTGACGGAAACAGTCAAGCACTTATTATTTATAACACTCGTTTATGCTTATTTGTGAGCCGTGAGGACACGGACCACTTCCTTCAACCTTGGCGTTGCAGAGATTTCGCACTGCAGTCTTCAAAGTTCAGCCCCAAGTGTCTTATATTTTATGCTTGATAAATGTTCAATGCTACTACCTACTGGTATTTACAGCTTTCTTGTCACAACTTCCAACAGCACCCGCCGAACCTGGTATGGAGGATTCAGCCTGGTATCCTTCTAGGAGTTTCTGTAGTGCAGTTCCGCGACCACTTGGTAATGATCAGGCCCTGAATACTGCGGCGTATCTACAGCCTTTCCCGCGGGCCGTCCGATGCTGCCAGCCCTACATACCTACACAAACTGTGGCTGGTTGATTGATGCAAGCCGTGTGTATAGCCGAGAGGCTTCCACCGTTGCCGTCCCTATCCAACTAGCCGCCGGATCCGCGCAACCCGCTCATCCACTTCACATCCACTTCATATCCGCTCGTGAGTCGCGTCGTACATACATGGTTCGAACTTCGCTGAGACAAAGCTCGGCGAAGCGCGAAGCTCGAAGCGCATGCCGAGGCGGAAGAAGCAAACCCGGGCGGGCATCTGGTCCCCAAGCTACAGTACAGAGGTACTCAACTGTACTCTGCTGCCGCGACTGTGCATGCAAGCCCTCCGGACCTCCGGTGAATCGTTTCGGGGTGCGAGCGACCGCGGGCGGAAATATTCTTCTCTTCTAGCGGCAAATGTCGAGACTTGAGACTTCTGCGCCTGTGGGATCGTGCATACTAGTATACTTAGTACACGTTGCTCGACGTGTAAATGCGTGGCAAAGGTCTTGCATACCAACTGAGATGAGTAGATACCAGGACGGAGCGCTGCTCCGTCGAGGTCTTACCGTCTCGCGCTACATTACGTCTATTCCGTTCCCGCTCTTGATATAACATATACTGACTTTACCCTAGGATTATCCCTATAGACTATCATTGCACTGTCCTATCCGTCGCTTCGGGGTTTTTATGTACTTTCCCCTCATTCGAGTGACGGCGCACCTACACGGATTCTCACTCGAAACACGCACAAATCCGTTGTAAGTTGTAAGTTGTAAGCTACAGCCGAAATACGTATCGCCACAGTCTATTTAGCCAGACCGTATGCAACACTGACAGCTCTCTCTCCTACTCTGCCGAGATACGTAAAGTAACACGACTACGTATGGGTGTTTTTAGGAAAGAATGGGCCTTCACAAGTGTGGTACGGTAAGGAGCGTCAGAGCAGAGTCACGCTCTCGATGCTCAACCCCCCAAAGAATCACAGCTCCTGCGGTACCTACTACCGATAGGCTCCGGTGACGATGAGACTACGATGGGGCATAATGGGGAGTGGTAGTCTGCCACAACTCACGACAATCACTCGACCTTCCAAGCCAGTCCTTCCAAGACCAAAAACAAATCGGCCGAAACAAAGCCTTCTACGTGCCCTTTGCGGGATGACACTGAACCCGCAGGGCTTAAGGCTTGAGCCGAGGGCCTGGTGAAAATGGATGTTGAAATCCCCTCTCCGTGCCATACCGATTTTTGTTTTAACTTTTAACGACAGGAGAACCACACCCGTGGTTGTAACTTGTAAACCTCTCCGACTCCGCATCCAGCACACCTGCGATATATATAGGCTTGGAGTTGTCAAAAACCGAACGTGCTGCAATCACTCGCCCGTATCCAGTGCAGCACCGCCTATCTACGACCACGAGAACCAGCCTCCAGGGGATCTTCGCCTTCGGTCAAGTAGGTAGTCCCAGCACGCGTCATCGCCGAGGACTCCAGAGTCCATGGCAGTTAGGTAACCTGCTGCTTTCCCCGCCGCCATCTCAATGACTCACCACCCATAAGTCCACGACGCCCCACCCATCGCGATCCTGTACCGTATTCCGCTCATCCAAAGGCGCGGACACGACGACCGGCTATGCAATACGCAATACTCGACACGACCAGCCCAGCCCAGCCCGTCAGTATTCTGTCGAGTCGAGACTCTGTACGCCCACATGCCACGGGTCGATTCGCTTTCCACCACCGTCGCAGCGTCGCGGCGTCGCACACTAATCTCGCTCCTTCCTTCCCTCTTCCTGCCCCCCCTCGCTCCCCGGAGAAACTATTCCGGCGAAGGCTCGCTTTCAGCTGGTGACGCTATAACTATGGGTCACGAACACACGTACGCATACACATCATGTCAGCTCCGGTGCAAATACCAGAAGAGAACCGAGCGCCGGCTGTCGCATCTCACGACTCGCGACTCGCGAAACGATGGGCGGCGTGGTAATCTGAGTTTGGCGAGTTTTATGCACCGTAACAAGGTGCCTCGGGAAGCCGAAGTGGGAGTTTGATGTCCAGGTCATCCTGTGTGCCGGCGCCGTGTCCTCGGGGGTGGCGGGGGGACGAGCAGGAATCAGGAAGAGTGGTCGCGCAAATGAGAACACTGGAGGAAGGGGAGGAGGAGTGTTCGCTGCCCGTCTATGGGTCAGCCGGGGAAATTGGCCATGTCATGTCGTGGGACTGGATTGGATTGGATTGAATACGTATCAATCACTCGCCCCCGGTTATTTTTCACAAGCGGAAAATTGAAATGTTCGCAATCACCCCCACGCCCACGGCCGGATATTCCTTCTTCCCGTGGCCTTTCGAGACTCGAGTACAGACGCACCTTCATTTCGATGATGGCTTTTTTCTTTCTTTCAGTTTTGGTGGGTTTTGATGTTTTGATGACGACGGGGGAGAGGGGAGAGGGGAGATGGGAGAGGGGGTTAGGGTCCTGGACGTTTCATGCAGTAGATAAAGCAAAGCACAACTATGATTCGGCGGCGCACGTGCAGCGTCCGGAAAATAACCCGTTGCGTTGCGTAATGACGGACGGACTTGGAGGAGCACAATGGCTTTGTCGGGAGGCGTAGGCACCGTGTGTTGCTGACTACATATTACTCTCTCCCGACCATTGGGCGCTAGAGGATTGGCCTTACCGTCAGTGCAGCTAGTGCTTCATCGTTACTGGTTCGCTGGTGCCGAAAGGTACCGTCTGCTACTCTACATGCTCTATAGGGCATGCACCGTGCATTACATACAGACATACATCTGCAGCTAAAACCCCAGAACTCATCCGTTTGGCTGTACTGCACTCTATAGTACTCTACTCTACTCTCCATCATGCACGTACGAACGTACATACGTACCTATCTCTGCATACCCGTCACAGCCTCACTTTTCTATTGCAGCTTATATAGAAGATGATGAGCGCCGCCGCACAGGATATATATAAAAAGCTTTCGGGGGCGTCCAGGACACCACAGTCACAGCCACAGCCACTGCCAGCCCCCTCCCCTCCCCTCCCCCGATGGATGATGATTACATCGGGGCCCTACGAATCGATCACCGCCTCCGCGCCTTCGAAGCTAGACCGCCCTCTTTGACCGTAAAAAGGACCCAATCACGCCATTCCCCATTGCCCCTAAATTCCCCATTTGCAGGGAACCAGTGGTCTTGGTATAAGATTCGTGAAGCAGCTGTGATGTGAGTCTGTGACGCGGCCACCGCCATCCATCCATCAAACCACTCATCCATCCATCCCGTCCATCCACTCATCCATCCCATCCATCCATCCACTCATCCCATCCATCCATCCATCATCCGTCATCCATCCATCCCACCCGCTCACACTGCACAGTGCCTGCGCTTGACAAGTTGACCTACATGTTGCGATGAGCAGGCAGGCCGCAGGCAGGCTTGCCCTCCCCCCCTCCCCTCCGGAGTCCGGACTACTCACTCATATTAAAATACGCTTTTTGCGGACAAAAAACTAGAAAACCTGCCAAAGCTGAAACGCTTGCTGTTCGCCCCCCGCCCCCTAAGAGGAGGGGAAAAGGAAAGACGGAAGAAGAAGAAGAAGAAAAACATACGACGGCGGCGGCGGCCGGCGACGAAGACGACGCGCGCTGGTGGCGGGGTCCAGGGAAATCCGGAGTTTCTGCGCTGCCTGACCTGGGCTAATCTAGATTACAGTTCCCCGTCCATCCAGTTGCGGAAGACCTTGCCCGTCACATGCTGCACGGCGAGGAGGAGGAGGAGGTTGAGGAGGAGGACTGGCCAGGCGGTGACCGCCAGGCCCCGTCGACTGAGGGCTGAGGAGATACGCGTAGGCGGCGAGCCAGTAGGAGCGTCCGCGCACCATCCTGGCCCTGGCCCCGCCGGACGGTTCCTGTTGGAACTTGGAGCGGAGTACCATGCCCCCCTTCCATACACGTGAAGAGCACTGGACGACGACGAGGTATCATTTGCCGGAGCCATGACTGGGGGAATCCTCGCTAGTTGGGCTCCATGGTCGGCAGGTGGTGTGTAGCACTGTGTGTGTGTGTGGGGTGGGGGGGGGGAGTCTTGCTTTTCCTTTGTATGGACGAGTCTTGATTTCCTTTGGGGGCCGATGATCGATCAGGTCCTTGTTCCTCCTGTGTGTGTGTGTGGGTGCCCTCCCCCTCTCACCGTACCACCACCATCACCTGCTAGCCTGCCTTCCTGCCTGTCTGTCTGCCCACCTTCCCCGCTCCATATGTACCCAACGGAACAGACGGCCCTCCAAGACGGCCCTCCAAGACGTCTGGCGCGGCGCTGAAACGCTGTTTCTGTCATTCAGGGGGGGGGCTACGATAATGGCCATGGTGCCTGTGGTGGTGGTGGGGATATCGATAACCACCTGCAAGGTATATCAGTGGGTGCACACTGCTTGTCTGGACAGACAGACGGACGGGAGCGGTGATCACAACACCTTCTTCTCTTTTCATTCCTTGCTCCGGCATTTGCCCTGACGCTTCAGGTCCGGGTTCATCCTATCTCGTCTTCCTGTGTTTGGCTTTGTTTGCCTGCACCACCTTTCGGTGCGGGCGCCTATGTATCACTGACTGACGGCCGCATAGTAGATAGTAGGTACCCAGAACCACCGGCTTAGACTTAGACTTACGCAGGCCCTCCTCCTGACACAGACTTCACTGCTGCTGCTGCTGCTGCGCGGCCCACCTCCCGCTGGTGCGCCCTGCGGCACCAGGTCTGCACTTGTTGCTTTTCCGCTTTTCTGCAAACTTCTCCCTCCCCCTCATACCTAGTACCGTATCGTCCAGACTCCAGACGCCGGTCTGGTCTGGTCTCCCCAGTTCAAAGTCCCAGTCCCCCCCCCCCCCCCACCCCGCACCTCGATGGCCCGCTTTTTTCTCACTGCATACATCCCTTGGAAGTTGGGCCCTTGCTGCGCTGTACGCGAAGCTTGCCCTTCTCATGGATGCTCCTGGGAGACGTACAGCCTTGTACATCATGGGTCGTTCGGCCGTGTATGTACTAGGTATGTAGTAGCCTTGCCAGCCTTGCCAGCCCAGCCTTGCCAGCCCACCAGGCTCCCGCTCCCACACGCACACGGTACCTACCTTCATACCTCGTAGCACAGGTGATTCGTGAAGAACGTAAAACTAATCCTCCACCTCCAAAAAAACTCTTCCCTCAATCCTCGCATCGCGTCTCCAGCGGGGGCAGGTGTATCCGAGCCCTCAGCGATGGTTGGCCAGCAGTGGAGACGGCGGAGGCGGTGGAGTAACTAACGATGCCCAACGGGCAACAACCGCCCATGATCGTCCAAACAGATCACTCGGTGTTTTTCTACGTTCCCTACCATACCTACCATGACCATGCCCAATAATCCTCCAGAAGAGCCCACGAAAGGCAAGGAGAGGAAAGAAAATCCTGCGCCTTCGATGTATACCGTACCGGCGTACGTAGCCTGCATTATAAACACCCAGCCCAGCCCAACCCAACCCCAACGATGAGAGAGTATTTCGTTTCAATTCAACGATCTTCCTCCGCTTCGCTTCGCTTCAGGCTCGTCTAGTGTCCACGTCGGCCATCCGCACACGGGGTTGGGGTTAGGGTTCCATGCGCCGTTGCTCCCGAGTCGCAATCATCCCGTGCGCCCGTGCGGCCGGATCGAAAACCAGCGCACGGCCGTTGCGACCGACCGAGCGGCCCGGCCCCGAGCCACCGAAGCGGGAAGCGGGAAAAAACCAGCGCACGCACGCACGAAATGAACTCGCTCACCACAACGCAACGCAATGCGAGCGGTGACACAGCTATACCTAGAAGGTGCCGACGCCACCAGGAAACGTGCTCACGGCCATTGCGAATGAATGAATGAATGAATGAGCGCGTTGGTGGTGGTGGTGGCGGCGAGCTGTGGGTAGCTGGGTGTGTATAAATGGCTACCTACCACCGGACGGAGGGGGAGCTTGATGCTCAATACTCAGTGCTCAGTGATCAGTGCTCAGTGCTCCGCTCGACTCCTGCCTCGATTCTCGACTCTCGACTCTCGACTCTCGACGACGACGACATCGACGACACCGAGGACATCGGCTCCGAACCGAACGAACGGTGGCAACTCGCAACGCAAACACAGGAGCATCTTAATCGCACCTCACCTCACCTCCCTCGGTCCCTCGGTCCCTCCCTCCCTCCGAAAAGATGTGCAACGGCTTCTCCCACCGGACCTCTCTCGGCGGCGCAGGTACGTACGGCCCAGGAGTTTCCCCTTCGCATGAGGCCCTCATGATGAGGGTCGGGCACACACACACTAACCCGCAGGCTCGCCCTGCTCTGAGTAGTCGCAAACCTCCAGTCCACCTCCCTCGACGCCGACATCGACGACGGCTTCAGCAGCTTCCAGTTACATTTCCACAACCCGCTGCCTCCCCCGCTGCCCACGGAGGTATCATACACGTTCGCGGTCCCCGAATGCGAGATCCGGATACAGTCAGTCCTCACCCCTGCCCGCCCGCCCGCCCGCCCGCCCGCCGGCTGGATAGCTAGCTAACGAGGGGATAGTAACCTGGGCGACCTCACGGGCGGCGTGCAGACCGCCGGCGAGATATTGTTTTCGCTGGAGGTGGCGATGGAGAAGGCGGATGGGCTGCCGCTGGATAGACGTCTGGATCTGGGCGTGGGCGGCGACGGGATCATTGGTAGGTCCGTCTCCGTTGTTAGGAAGGGCGTCGTGCTGGGGGAAGGAATTATTGGGTGGAATTGAAGGTTGAGAGGCCGCTGTGATGGGGGGGAGGTGGCCGGTCAGGTCCGTGGCGTTGGGTACGTTCGTTCGTTCGTTTCTGTGGCGTCTCTGGAGCGGGGCTCTGGAGACTCTGGAGAGACTCGAGAGTGTACAGTAGGTACGGTACGTACTACGGCGAGTAACGGAATGAAATTTGGATGGGACGGTGTTTTCTCTCTCGATGTTTGTGGAAGATGTAGCCAAACTTCAAAGTGTAGCCAAAGTGTAGCCACAGACACCTGAGAACTCTGCTCGTCGAAGACAACGAGAATGATCAGCGAACGCGTGGAAACGCAGTCCTCAAGCACGGTATTGATCTCGTTAACTTTGTGATGTGCGATGTGTCCTACTTTTCGCCCGTCAGTGCAGGCCTTCCAAGTTCTCACGAAGTGGTCGGCGACGCTGGGAGCCTGGGACTCAGTCTCCCTGCCACGATTCTACGAACCGTGGTTTCATCCAAGAATAACTCTAGCAACACAGTCAGTACGACGATACAATGTACATAGGCGCTGTTCTGGGCAGTGGGGAGGGGGGACGGGGGAGGGGGAGGGGGGAAGTTGTGCTCACCAGTCATGCGGTGGGTTTCGCCCGGCGGTCTTGAGTCCTGAGTCCTGACAGGATTGCGTGCTCACGGCCGAGGAGAAAGGTAGTCTCGTCCTGCCTGCTTGCCTGCATCCATCCATCCATCACCCCCCGGAATAGCTGGGTGGGGGAGGGGAGGGGAGGAGACGAGGTCCGAGGAGGTGCGGAGACGATGGACGACGGGCAGATGCCCGTCCTCAGTAGCCGGCCGGTCCAAGTTCCAACGTGCGTGCGAGCCCCATGATCACGAGAAGCAGTTGGAACTTGGATGGATGGGATCGCCGACGTCTGTACGTACGTGCAGCACAGTCCGCACGCACGCAAGAGACTCCAACTTCTGGCGACTGCATTGCAGCGAGTCGACAGCACTCCCAACGCCGTTCGTCCTCCTCCTCCCCTCCCCCTTCCCCCCTCCCCCGACGAGCAGGATCAGGATTCCGGATAGGAGGGGGATCGGGCGCCGGGGCACTCAAGTAAGGCTGTTTGGGCTGGGCTGTCTGGGCTGTCTGGGCTGTCTGGGCTGTCTGGGCTGTCTGGCTGGCTGAAACCTCCGCCATACACCGTATCCGATGTGCGATATGTAGTTACATGTTGGGCGGGGGGAGGGGACGGACATGATGGTCATGGCCATGGCCATGTATGTACCCAGGTATCTCTCGGTCTGCAGTTGGCATTCGTCTGCTGAAGTCTCTGTTGCAACTTGCAAGTATCATACATACTCAGCTACATGTACATGTGCAGTAGAGCGCATATCTTCCCTTGAGCTCCGTCGGTGCATTCCGAGTCCTCACAACAGCAGCCACCGGCCCACCGCCGCTCGAGACTCGAGTTTGTGCTGCACAAGCTCGGACCCGGAGGCTGGCCAGGACCATGGGAAGCTATCTTAGAACCGGAGCGTACCGTGGATATCATTCGTCTGGCTGGCTGGCTGATGGCTGATGGCGCCTCCGTCCGGGCCGGTGGTGGAGGTGGAGGTGGAGGTGGAGGTGGAAGTAGTGGAGGTGGCTGGCAGGCAGGCCAGCAGTATCGTCCCCAAATCCCAAACCCCAAATCCCAAACCAAACCCCATCTCCTCTGTAAAAGCAAGAAATTCCGCGTGCAAGAATCCGAATCCGAGTTCTCCTCCAAATCTCCGCCCGGTTAACTTGGGTAGTTTCCCCCAGTGGCAGTGGTGGTGGTATCTCACTCAAAGGGGAAAGCGAGATTGATGGGAGGGGGTAATCGAAAACCAAGTATACTTGGGTGTAGTATCTAACTCTACATATCCCGGCCCCACAGCGCAGTTGCGAGATCGAATAGCGTTGCGTTTCTTCAAAGCTCGGCCCTCATTGGCCACATCAGATTTCCTGCAGCACCCCTCCCAACTCCCTCTCTTCTCTTTCTTCCCCCATCCACATCCACATCCATAATCCACCATCCACCATCCACCATCCACCATCCACCATCCACATCGTACTACGGTACTACATACAGGACCTCGGGAACTCGAGCAGGAAGGTAATGCGAAAAATAACCGAAGGGTGAGGTAAACCCATCCAAGCGGTTTGTGTGTGTGTGTCTGTGTGAGTGTGTGTGGGTTCGGGATGGGGGAGGGGAGGGGGAGGGGGGAGGCCGGATCAATTCATTTCTTTCTTTACAAAATTAGTTCTCCTATGGGGTTTTCTATTATTATTAGTATTATTTTATCATATTTTCGCATTTCGCAATTCGTTCTCGGCATCATTATCATTATTATCATTATATTTTTCCTCTCCTTTCTTTTTCCTTTCTTCCGAAACAGACAGACAGAAAACCGACTTGATTGATGATTGATTGATTGACTGGCTGATAGCTCGAGCTCGCAGCTCGCAGCAAGAAGATGCTGATATGCTGTTGCAGTTCCATTATCCACCCAGCACGCAACGCACGCAACGCACACGCAGGAACCGGGTTCGAGAGTTGCAGTTGAGATGGCTGCAATGGCAGCAATGACTGACATGACATGACATGCTGCAGTGCAGAGTTTCATGCAAGCGTGTGGAGGAGGGAGGGAGGGAGGGAGGGTCTGTCCTGGCCATACAGATAGACGGACAGACAGACGGACAGACAGATAGATTTGCGGGAGGGAGGGAGGCAGGAATCGCTGCCACCATCCACCACTCACACCCATACCCACATCCATACCAGAAGCGCAGAGAGTACACTATCTATCTCTTTGGTCATGGCAGCAGTTACATCTTAGCTAGTATCTAGTAGCTCCACCCTTCCGTGAGGGGAAAGGAAAGCAAATGCCGCCAAAGCCATCAATTTTTCGCCTCGCCCCGCCCCGACCCGCCGTCCGCAGAGCGGAGCTGATCCGCGCTTCCTCATTGTCGTCGCCGGAGGAGGAGGAGATCGTGGTACTGACATTTTACCCCTCCCCTCCCCTCCCCTCCTCCCCCCCGCACGCCCCATTCACATGGGAGAGCATGGTAACTAGGAGGCATGGGACTCGACCAATTGGAATGAGTGACGGACAGTGATGTTTCACAGCACCACACAGCACCACACCGCACCGCACCGGCGCACCGGCGCACCCCCGGTCCGCCCGGTGCCAGTTAGCACGTGCCACCACCACCTTAAGCAGCAGTACCGCCCATCAATCAATCATCAACGTCCTCCCCCATCCTCCTCCAATATCAGATCCGAATCAACCTCTTGTCCCCCCACAGGCCGTTCACCGCACTCCATTCCCTTCCCCTCCCTTCCCCTCCCTTCCCATCCATCCCAGGCCACTCGCAGAGTCGCACTGGCAGGGAATCCGGATACGACGAGTCAACTGCTGCTGCTGCTGCTGCTGTGCCTACTACGGTGCCTGCAACTGGCCCGCCTACTTCGCTATCAAAACTATCAAAACTAGTCCGTTTTCTGCCTTCTCGTAAAAATCGAGATTCGAGACCTGGCCGTTCCTACCCCACTCCACACCACACCACCACCACCACACCTAAGGGAATGGAAAGGAAAAAATGATGTGTGGGTGAGTGGGTGAGTGGGTAGGTGGGTGGGTAGGTGGATGTGATCAAGCTGCTGCAGCGCAGAACGAGAATCATAGGTAAGTATGCAGGAAAACGGCGTGCGTGCGTTCAGGGCTAGATATCTACGGTGTCTATCTATCTGTTAGTATCTATCTGTCTGCCTGTCAGTTGAGTATAGTCGTTAGAGTAGTAGTAGTAGTAGTAGTAGTAGTAGTAGTAGTAGTAGTAGTAGTAGTAGTAGTAGTAGTAGTAGTAGCAGTAGCAGTACGTTGGTTGCATTTACCGTACTGCAGTGCAGCTGTTGGCCCAACATGAAGATCAAATCAACGGCCTGACATGCCAGCCAGTACTCTAGTTACGTTCTACGTTCTAATTGATATCTCGATCCTCGCAAACCTGTAACGGCGGCGCGGGGAAATCCACCAGACTACAGTAAAGTCACGAACGAACGGCGGAGAAGAAGTACCCAAGAACTCAGTGACAGTGACAGAAGTGGCTTTGTATTTCATCCACGATCCAATGCTATGTAGAGACCGGTCCGCGCTTCCCATCCATTCACTCCCCTCCACCCATGTCCAGCCATCCACCTCCCAAGCCCCCAAAAAACTAACCCAAGAAAAGAAAATCCTTCAAATGACCGAGCTGTGCCTCCAAGCAAGCAACTCCCCAGCCCGAGTGTGGTTTCCCCAAGTTTCCCCAAAAGTAAATTATCCCGTAACAACCCCAAACCTCCCAAACCCCATCCTCCCAGAACCGTCCCATCCAAATCCAAATCCCATCCAACCGTCCCGAAACCCAAGCCCCCTTGTCGTAGCTCGTTACATACGATTCAATCGAAGTGCAGTGCGTGGTTTTATACAAGCCAAAAGCAAAGAAAAAACGATAAAATCCAAGAATCCAGAAATAAACAGACGTAAAAGATAGTGGGGTACAAGTAAATGCAAAACCAAAGACAAAGACACACAATTAGAGCCCGGTTTCCAGAAGAAGAAAAAAATGAAGAAGAAAAAGCAAAACAAAATGAACGTTATGGACTGTTCCAGCTAGCTGGCTCCTCCCCCACCTCCCCCAAATCCACCCTAGGCTATACCACAAAAATCAAAATCAAACCCCGTCCTTCAACCGCCCTGCCCTGAAAACAAAGGAAAAGGTCCAGAAAAGGAGAAAAGATAAATACCATCAAAAATTCACAGAGAAGAAGAAAGGAAGAAGAAAGAGAAAAAAAGATACAGGTAAAACACAGAGGAGAAAGGAAAAAAAGATGAAGAGAAGAAGAAGAAGAAGTGAAAAGGAAAAAAGATGAAAAAAAGGATGAAAAAGGGGTAGAAAGAAGAAATACTAAAGTAAAAGGCAAGAAGAAAACTCAAAAACCCAAATTCTCCGGTTATTGTGCTTGTCCCCGATGTTTTTTCCGTGCATTGCTGCGACCGTCTTATAAAATCCCAAAAAATCGTCCTGCGAAGAGTAGAGAGAAATGAAAAACAAACCATGAGAACGCAAAAGAGGCAGTAAAAACCGATCGCCAAAAATCAACCGCTAAAAAAAACAACGCTTGAAGACTTGAACGCTAAAGACATAAGAAACGCCGTGGAAACCCCTCTCACAATCGTTAACCGTACAAGGAAACAAGGGAATAAAGAAAAGGGAAAGAGATATGAAGCCGAGAAGAAACCAGCCGAGAACAATACATGGCCATTAGTTTCGTTGTTGAGGTGATCCGCGCCGCGTATGGTAGTGATTTAATAGTCGAGAAATCATCGCATGGAAATCGTCAATTTCGTCCCTTTGTTGCTCCGTGCTTATCGCCCGTCGTCTTGGCCGCCAAAATTCCCCTGCCCATACTGATCGCACTCGTCTCGTCCTCGCTCCTGGGAACCGCCAGCTAGTCACATCGTCGCACCGTAGTCCTGGTAGCGGTCCCAGCCAAACCCTCCAAATCCGCTTCCCACGCTGCACTGCTGAGCCACCATACTGGGTAGCGGCAGTTGCGGGATCGACATGGAGAGGGTTGTAGGCGCTTGAGTGTACTGCGGTCCCGGAGAGCAGGTAACGGGCATGTCATAGCCAGTGGTCGGGCCCCAGATTGTCGGGAATCCTCCAGAGCTGGAAACAGGCGAGTTGTCCTCGATGGGACTTGACGGCAGAATCTTCCAGGACTCAACGGGAGGCGGAGGGGGCGCATTCGAAGGCACCGGCGAAGGGTTCCACCAGTTTCCGGGGTTGCTTGGCAGCATCTGCGCAACTGGCCGCACAACGTCGACAACTCGTGGCGGTGGCGGCATGAGCGGGTAGAACAGCGCTAGAACCTGCGCCTTCACATCCTCGCTGCGTCCACAGAGCAACTCTCCCGCTCCGTCGTCCTCCAGCCCTTCCAAGGCGATCGCATCCGTCCGGTACACATATTTGTTGACCGCCTGATGGAACTCGTCGTGCAGCTTCTTCACCTGCGCTTCCTTCTCGGTCCACGGCCATGTCGTGTCCGTCTGATCGACCAGGTATATGTCCTTGTGGTATTCGCAGAGATCGTCAATGGTGTCTTTCGTCAGCTTGAATGCCACCTCGTGGGACAGCACCAAGTCGATATGCACCACATAGGCCTGAACGTGCAGCAGCTCGAACCGGGCGAAAGCCTCAACCAACGGGTTGTCGTGCCTGTCAAGTTGCGATGCCGGGGCTTTGGGCACCATCAACGTGCAGAGATTCCAGATTGCGGATTGCTGGGAAAGCGTCTCGGTGAGACATTTCATGTGCTGGGGAACGCTGTTCAGTGATCTTTTGATCCGGTTGATGCGCTTGAGCGTAGCCGTTAACCACGGATCGACCTTGGTGTTCAGAACTATGGTCGGCGAAGACCGAGGCGCAAAAGGCGACGCTGTGTTGGGGAGTAGTAGGGCGGGCATTCTCGACATAAAGCGGAGGGATGCCGATGATCATGCACGTTGGGGGGGGCAAATTCGAGAAAGGCGAAGAGTCGTTGGGAGTCTTCAGTCAAGTGCCAAGAAGTCCAGTTCAGTATGCCCGGCGGGGCGAGTAACGCAGTAACAGTCGGTCAAGACCGCAGGTAGGTGAAAACGAAAGGACTTGAGTTAAGAGCAAGGAACGGGGATGGTGGTGATGATGACGATGGTGATGATGGTGGTGGTGGTGGTAGTGGTGGTGGTGAGATCGGTGGTGTTGATATATCGACTTGAGGTTATCCAGAAGAGAGTGTGTAAATAAGCCGAGAATGGAAGGGTTGAGGGCAGTGGCGGTGAGGGACAGGTCGCGGTTCTTATAAAGTCCCACACGGGCCACCGGTATGTAGGACATGGATTCCGGAAGGCAGAGTGTGGGTGGTAGCGATCGTTGCTCTCGCCTGTCGACGTTCGGGAACCCATGCCCTGCAGCTTAGATCCCCCCCCTCCTCCTCACACCCCCCCTCCCCCCGACCACACGAACACACAGGGTATGGGACGGATTGCGCCCGAATCATCGGCTCTTGCAGAAGAGAGTACCCCTCATTTTTCTTTTGGCGTCGAGGCGGAGGAAGAGGCAGCGAGCGAGCGAGCAATTTGCAGGCTGGGGCCAGGCTAGGCTCCGGAGAACACAGCAACGCTACAGCAGCAGCAGAGCAGGTGGAGCTACCGAAACCAGGAAAGTGAAACACACTCGGAGCGGCGACAGAGATGTGAGCACAAGCTCCCGTTTCACACATCCATCCATCCATCCATCCATCCATCGCCGCTCGGGCTTGTTCAGTCGATATCGGTATGGAATGCAGATGCATCCAAATACGGTTAAAAGTCAATATCAGTGAGTCCAAGCAACCCAGGTCTCTGGCAACGGACCGATCAATCATCATCCCAGTGGCGCAAAGACATTCCATCCCCACCACAACCACCACCACCACCACCATGACCACCATGACCACCACCATGAGTCCATGACCACCACCACAACCACAACCACCATCTCTAGCACCCACTCCTCCTCCTAGTCCTCCTTCCCCTCCTCCTCCTCTTCCCCTCCCCCTCATGCACTCCCTCGCCCTGCAGGCGGTATTTGGTTGACACCACCGCGCCGCCTCATCGTCGACCTATCGAGGGCCCGATATGTATGCCCTTCCTACTGCAACTATCCCGTACCTGCAGAGTCTCTCTCGGCGGTATGTAATCTTGAGGCCCCCAATCTTACTGGGCTGGGGGGGGGGGATGGTGAGCCAGATACGAGTTGCGGTGACAGGAGGGTATCGCTACTGTAGGTCAGAGTCTTTCCGTGCCTGATCGGAGGGCGCGGCTGGGCGGCTGGAAAGGGCTTTCCGCCCATCAATTTCGATACTCCACCTCTAGCATCCCGCCGTCGTTCCTGACCCTTGGGCATACATAGGAAAAGGCGGTGCTCTGGGATGATTTTTCCGCACCAGATGGGTTCACGGAGGACCTAGCACCCTAGGTAGTGTCCCCACCCCCCTCTTCTCTTTCCCTCAGCTCGGACGCAGACATTCACGTGGCGAATCCAACAATCGATTCGCTGAAGTCTTGTGTTTCGATCAGCCCTTGTTTGGAAGGAATGGGTTGTGATTGGATGACAACTGAAGTGAGGTTGCGGATAACCCCTGCCCCAGTGCCGACTAGTGTGGAAATGGAATAGGCCGAGTCACCGATTTGTGACCGAGTCACCGATGGGTCCGGGAGGAGAAATCGCAGGTAGGGCATGATGGGAGCGCGGGCGCGAAGAGCAAGAGAGGGGTAGCTTGACGGGCAAGACCTAGGTATCGCCGGTCGGCACGTCTCCTGCTTGCTGCTCCCCGCGTGCTATCTCCCTCCCCCTCCCCCACTACTACACCGTTCGACTTCATCATCGTGCATTTCACGATACGTCGACGTCAAGGTGGTGAACAGACAGATAGCGAGGAGATGTGCACGCGGTGCGTCGGACGTCGTCATACTTGGTTCTGGAGAGGGGGGGTTGCTGCTGTGTTGTGGCGATTATAGTAGAGTACCTAGAGCCGTTGACTTTGTGCTGCTCAGCTGCGGTGCAGCAGACCACAACGTCAGCTCGCCGCTGGGTTGCTTCGTTCCTGCGGTGCAGTGCAGTGCGGTGCGGTTCCGATTCCCGTATGGAAGGGCGGAAGGATGTACATCCAATCGCCGTCGGCAGCAATGCAGGTGGGCAGTCCGTCAAGTCAGGCAGTTACTGCGGGCTGCAAGTCGCGTGACAAGCGCTACATACTTCAACTAGCTTACATGGCCAGACCAGAGCATTTGACTCTAGAGTAGGGACGGTACGGTACGGGGCCATACCGGCAATCATGGGAGCTGGAGTCGCAGCGACGAGCGACGGCATTACCTGCTCTACCCATAAGGCACCACCACGAGCGAAATCGCTACGGAGAGCCACTCAGCACCAGCGGGCATACTCGGATGCAGCGGTCCCGCTCAATTTCCGGCCGCAGAAGGACTGGCCGAGTGCAAAGGTACTTACAAAATAGCAGTCGGATACTTGATGTCCAGGCGCTCCGTCCGCACGGCGTTGATGTACATCAATACTAGTAGTAAGGCAGCTGAGGGTGAAATACCGTACCTAGAGTATCAGACCTACATCTCTCGAGGTGCAGAATATTCAAAAAATAGTCATGATGTCTCGTCTGGCCAGTAGCCACGGTAGGGCAGGCAGGCAGGCGGGGCGGTCGGACGGTCGGTCTATCGGTCGGTCGGCCCCCACTAGCATAGCGGCGGGCAGTCAAGGACGAAACCCTCGACCACGACCCACGACCCACGCCGACGTCCACAGAACTTACCTTACTCACCTCGCTCCCTTCCCTCCGCCCCGCTCGATCTCCTGCAGAACCGAACATCCCATATATCTGGTTTAAGTCGAGCATGCACGCCGCTGCAGAGAGCCTGCAGGCAATGCACTTACTGTGTGTGGGTATTCCACCCAACCCTCCGCTGCCCGCTCTCGCCCTCGCCCTCGCTCGCACCCGACATCAACCCTTTTCTTTTCTTTCCTTCGCATCGTTCACCAATGCTTCCGCCGCGCGTCACACCCCTCCTTTGCTGCCGTGGGGTGGGTTTCGGATCCCGATGAAACGGCAATCGAGGCTTCTTTCGGGGCGGTCACGTTCTTTGGCTTTCTTTATTTCGCTCTTTCTTTCTTTCTTTCCTCCGACGGTTGACGGGGCGGGGCGGGCGGGGCGGGCGGGCGTCTGCTGGCGCAGAACAACAGTCCCGCTGGAATGGATGGAAGCCTTGGTCCAGCCAGCTCGGTTCTCTGCTGCGGCGCTGCGCCTCAGTTGACCCGCATACCTCGCTGCGCTGCGTAGGTATCCTCAACACTATCATCATCATCATCACCACGACCACGACTACCACCACCATCATCATCATCACCAACACCACGACTACCCTTGCGGCGCGCGCTCGGTCGCGCTGTCGTCGTTGTCGAGGATAACTACCGCCTCACCACGCTCTGGATGCTTTGGAACACTCATGGAGAAAGAAGTAAACAATACGTGACGTTGCTATGTCATCACGTACTCTACATAGCACATTTTCGCGCGGACACGTCAGTTGGGCGGCAACTGAAGCGGTGATAATTAAAATCTCGGACGACAACGAGGCTGGCGGAGAGGTGGTGTTGTTGTTGTTGTTTACGGTGCGTGCACGAACACACGAACACACATATCATACAACACTCGATTTCTCCTGCTGCTCCACGTAATATAGATCCATACCACGAAAAAGATATAATTGAATTCTGACTGTGGTAGATCCGTTACAGGTCATGTACGGGAGCTCGATATGTACTCTACTGTATGGTACCTACTATGCTCTGGTTAGCTCGGTAGCTATTTTCCGGTTCGAGCTCGCGAATCCCCTAAGACAGGTCCGGGGCCGTGCTTGTTTACCCAGCACCCAGCAAGCCCAGAGTAACATGTTGGGTCTATGTATGGTATGTACCGTACCTACTCTACCTACACTAACCACCCAACTGCCTACTGACCTATGCATAGAGCAGATATCTACATGGAGTGGGAGCACACCGCATGCTCTACATGCTCTAGCCACGGCCGGCTACCGTACGTACTCCATTCGTCTTTATCGATTACGGATAGATAGCGATAAAACCCGCCGAAACCAAACCAACCTCAGGTGTCGCAGGAACATGGGTTAGGAGTGTCTGTACACAATGTACCTACTTACTCGATACACTCGGTGCGCGTCGAATCGGATCCACGGTTTGGCAACGAATGCGGGCGCGAATAAGAGCTCTCGGTGGCAACTACCGAAATCCCTTTCCTTTTCCTTTTCCTTTTCCTTTAGTGAGGAGGGTTGCAGTTCGCCGAAGGGAGATGCACGAGAGGCTCGATATGGGGTGGCGAAAGTCCAGCATCCACATACGTAGTTGGGAAAAACACCCATTTCGTTGCGGCACGCGCAAGGCACGAAAGCAAAGGAAACGTTGCAGTTGGCAGGCGAACGTGCAGCGTTCTGCGTTCTGCGAAGATACGGTGCTGGTGCTGGTGCTCTAGAGTACTCTGCTCTACAGTTCTGCGATCGAACTTGCAGGGAGTCATACCTCCTCACCTACCTACTCACTCTACTCACCTACATGCTCTACTCCATGAGTCCATCTGGGAGCGCAGGCGCAACCTCCACAGATGTGCGCCGTAGCTTGGACACGTCTATTGCGGAACGATTTCCGTTGCGACTGCTTGCCTGCCTGCTTGCGTGCCTGCCTGCCTGTGTGTCTGGCTGCTTGCTCATACACATCAGACCGATAGACTGACGGACAGACATTCGGAGTTGGCGGTGCATGAATGATGAGGACGAGAGCGATGTTGGCATAGCACACTCCCTCCTTCGTGTGTGCGACGTGAATGACTACTGCTCAGTTACCTGCGACTCTACCGTACTCTACCGTACTCTACTGTACTCTATTGTACTCTACTCTACCCACTCCACTCCACTCCACTCCATACGACAAGTGTGGCTTGCGTGCTTGGGTGCCCCGCCTGACGAGCGAGCGATGCAGGGAAGCTAGGGCGGACCAGCAAGACCTCAACGGCCATCCGAAAGCCTGGCTGGTGGAGCGATGGTGCCGGGATACCAAGGAATCAAGCAGTGAGGCTTCCGAGTCGCCAGCGCCAGCTACACCCGGCCTAGGTACTTGCTTGACTACTCATGCAGCCTACTATTTCTCAGCTGTACAGGGATCCTCCGTCTCGACCGGCGGCGTTGTTGAGGGCCACGCAACTGCGGGCCTGCGCCTCACAAAGCCACACGTATTCATCCCAAGATTTCCCACCACCACCACCGCCTCCACCACCACCATCACTGCTGGGACCGGGATGGAGGGTCACATATCAACAACCAACAACAGCGACCAGCATGCAGCCTGCTGTAACTATCGCATTGCACGCCCTAAAAAACCAGCATATCGCAACTGGGGACGCACCGCCCACGCACGTGCACTGAACAGGCCAAGCACCCACCACATTCACCACATTCACCACCATCACCACCACCATCACCACAACCACTATTATCTATCGACACACGATGATGCCCTACCCTACATACAGACGCATGCCAGTCTCCTACATCAACCTACACGTCCTTCTCTCTCTCCGCAGGCATATTCCATGGCCACAGCGGATGGGCTGTGGGGGCCCATGTCGAGTCGAGTCGACCGATTCCTTGCTTTCACCTGTCTGTCTGTCTGTCTGTCTGTCTGTCTGTCTGTCTGTCTGTCTGTCTGTCTGTCTGTCTGTCCCTTGACTTTCGGGCCGCCCATTCGGCGTCCAACTAACTACTGCGGCCATGACGACTTTGGGACTGTCTCGGCCCGTCGATCTACGCGCATGCGATCACTCACAGCTTTCAACTTTCATGCACGCAGCTTTTCAATGCGAGTTCGTGTGTTCGTGTTGGCGCTGGGAATGTGTAGGCGAGCTGTGCCCTGGTCCGCTAATTTCCAACCTTCCCCCCCTCCCACTCCCTCACAAGCGCGCATCGCACCGCAGCAGCGCAGGTGCCGGAGGACGGGACCCAACCTCCCCACCCCAGCACGTTTCCCCGGACTGTCCGGGAATTACATAAGTGCACAGATACTTGGGTAAATACTTGCTTTATGTACGCCCCAACGAGGCGGTGGCCAGGTCCGGGAATGTTGGATGTCGAAGGCTCCTTGGAACCCTAGATACCTACCTACAGGAAACGTGAAACGCACTGCAGTGCTTGGGACCGACGAACAAACAAAGCACTCATCGTTTTGCTTTTACTATTCTGTGGCATAACCAACTATTACTAGGTACTAGCCACTTGCTTGCCTACATACCTAGCTCGACTCGGTGGAATGAATTCGACGAACTTCGTTCGCGCACTTCACTTCATGCGGGGTCGAGGGATCTGATCGCCAACATCCATCGGGCGATTCCTCGCGGGAGCGGGGCTTCCTACTCTTTGTGTGGTATGTATGGTATGTATGGTACACATTAACGCACAAGAAGGACATATGTACATACATGGCATACCTAGCATACCTAGCTGGTTGTGAGCTTTCTCCCGCATCCTGGGTCAAACCTTCGTGTGCTTCTGCCCCTGGTGGCCTGGTGGCCTGAGTTCTAGCCTCGACGACAGACGACTGAGACGACTCAGACGACTGAGACGACTGAGACGACTGAGAGTTGGCTGTTGACGTGATCGCATGGAAAGCCACGGCCTACGGCTTGGTTACGAAACTTCATCACTCATCGGCGGAGGCCGTGTACTTACCTGGGAGAGTGATACATGTTGGCCGGGTGGTTCCGACATACCTACATCCTCGAGGTCGGGCGTTCGATGATGGCGGGGGTGTGGAAGGCTTCAATTGAAGTTCCCACTTTGCTATATAATCCTCGCTCCGCAATCCCTCACCACATCTCAAATCTCTACATGTCTATGCCAGCCCCATACCTACGCACAGAGACATTTGCACTTTCCCCTTCACTTCCCTTTCACTTCACTTCCCTTCCCTTTCCGTTTCCCGTCGCAACGACCCTCGCGCTCGCCGACCATCGCCGAGAGCGAGCGAGCGAGTGAACCTAAATCCCTAAGCGAGCCGTCGCGTGGCGACCAGGATGACCAGGATCAGCCGGTAGGGTGGATATGATAGCCGGATGGATGGGGGATGGTTGCAGTCGATGGCGGGATCGCGCAGATCTTTGTAGTTCGTATCATAGCTTATGGTCCATAGCTAATGGCCTATACGGTAGCCCGTGGACGTCGAATCTATACCATCAGCGTAGGAAGAGGATGATATAGGGACCGTGGTGGGTGGGATGTGCGAATGGGAAGATTGTTTCCACCGACACCATATCGTGGCAGTGCGTAACCATCACGTCCACGTCTCGGGCCTGCCGGCCAGCCGGCCGAACATTCGCAATCGCACCCCAAAAATCCGCTCGGGTCCAACGGCTCCCCATGCCACTGCTGCGGATTCGATGTCTCTCTTATTTTTTAATTTTTTTCTTCTAATCACCGGGCCTTCCCAGTTTGGACGCAATATCCAACCTCCTCGTGCTCCTTGTGCTCTGCGAAACAAAACGAATGGCATGTACTCTACAAGATGTAACCCGGACTCTCGCGCTGTCTCGCTGTCTCGCTGACCGATAACGATAATCGATAGCTGACCGATACGAGACATTTCTATATACCTGGTACCTGGTATGTACATACATCCTAAACATATCGCTTGGAGCAGCAGGAGAAACGACAGCAGCAGCAGCAGCAGCAGCAGCAACAATCGGTGCCGCCGGTGGGTGAAACAAACAATATGTCTGTCCATCAGTTGTCGTCGTCGGCGATGTTGATCGCTCCAGCCTCCTGGAAGACGTGCTATATTCTCTGTAGAGTGTGATACATATGATGCATTTGATACATATGCATACCAGGTATACGGTACCTTGATGCCTGCGAGACTCGAGAGACAGACAATTGGCTAATAATAGAGCAGCACGCGGAGGGCGAGTGCGAATGCTGAGTTGGGGCCACTTTCTGAGCTCTGAGCTGGGTTGGATATAACTACAAATGAACGAAAAGTGATGATCGGGAGCTTTACTCTAGCTTTACTCTACTCTCCTCTACTCTAGCTTGGGGAGTTCAAGTTCGGCCCCAGTTCTTTCTTTCCAAGTCGCCCGCCAAGCTGGGGCCAAGCTGGGGCCTACTATTCTAACTAATAGTTAACAAGCAACTAACCGAATAGAGAACAGAGAACAGAGAGAGACAAAACATCTCAGCTCCCCCGGCCTAGCTAATAACTAAAAACTACTAGTAACCAGCAGCAGCGGCAGCCAATGAACAGCCAGGATTCACACACCTCACACTTGCAACCACTTGCAACCACTTGCAACCACTTACAATTGAGGCATAAAGAGCCCCCCCTCCATCCCCCAAAGAATGCGCGCAACACAAGCACAAGAACCCACGCAGGCTGAATGGTAATTCGCAAAAACTCCAACTGCAACTCCAACTGCAGGAGTAGTTAGGACACACTTGCTGGAAGCTTGGAGAAATACTCCAGAAATGTGAGGGATTGAGGGAGGGATTGAGGGAGGCAGGGAGGGATTGAGGCGTTATCGCGATCACGACACGATGCGATGCGATGCTTTATCTCTAGCTCTCTATCTAGCTCTCTGGCTGGAGAGCAGGGGGATTGATCACGAGCTGTAGGGGGTACGAACTGGGGGGATGGGGGAGGGAACACACTTTCCTGCAGATGAGGTTTGTGACACGAAAGAGGCAGACAGACAGACACACAGTGCACACACATAGTGCACACACACTCACACTCACACCTGCAGATATCTACACCTACAGATATCTACACACCGTATCCTACCTACCCCCGTCTCCGTCCCTCGGTGCAACCGCATGATTTACTACCTAGCAAATACTAAAGGGTGGGAGGGGGGGCTATCTATCTGCGATTACTCTACGGTACATACTAGCAGGGCAGATTGAACTCAATTCCACATTTGCAGTTGACAGATCGATACAGTACTATGTACTAGTGGATATATGTGATAATATGAGCTTGCGTTTCTGCCTCCCGGTTGCCGGCTACTCTAGGTAGAAGCCTAGGAAGGACGTGGGACGTGGAACTGGAGCCGCAGATACCCGTGTCGGTACGAATGCGAGTGCTCGTGTCCGTGTGAGTGCGAAGGGAGGGAGTGCGAGGGAGGGAATCGCCAGATCTGAGATACGGACCGGACGAAGTGGGCATGCGGTGAGTGGTGAGGGTTTATGCTGAGGCTGATGCTGGGACAGCTGGCTAGTATGTACAGCTATCGTACGCAGAAGTCCCGCTGGGAGGGAGGAGGGCACAGGGGGATGGTTACGATTTATGAAGCTGAATGAATTATTGTTGTTGGTCTGGAGGCAAGACCGAGCGGAGGAGATGGTATGGGATGTATACGTACCAGATTACGGTTAAAGTCTGTACATGACGATATTTTTTTGGAGCGGATGAGATTATACGATCCTATGTATAATGTACATACAATCCTACGATCTACATACAGGCTTCAAATGTGCAGTGCCAGTGCCAGTACCAGTCACACAGAACCACGCCGACTACTCGAGTAGGTAACGATCGCTCACGGACACTCGTGACTCGATACTCGGTACTCAACCGGCGGATTCCCGAAATATCCGTATGTACCATACTTGCCCAAGTATATAGCCTTGGCTACCTGGGCAAAGGAAAAACAAGCCACTCTTCCAGTGGCTCACCCCCCGCAAACAAAATTGTGGCTCACACAAAACTAGGCAGCAGGAAACAGGCAGGAAGAGGCCACGGTTTAACCACGGTTCAAACTTCAACCACGGCAGCGGATCCAGATCGCGCTGAACAAGTACCGTAAGCACCCTATGTAGTAACCCGTGCTTGGCACGAGTAACAACTGTAATTTGCACTTCGTCAAGGCACGGGAGTTGGGACGAACCTTATTTCGACATCGAGTCCCGAGGACCGAGGACTGACGAGGACCAGGAGCGGACTGGAGCTCCAACTACGACAGAGTCTTCAACCCGCCCCTGGCCACGGTGATCCTCTGTTACAAGACCCAGACTACAGGCAACCGTATGACAGTGAGTCAGTGACAGTGGAATCGTCGGTACTACTACTCGAGTACCTAGACCAGACGAAACCCCCGCCCGACCAACCTGGGGATTCGAGGATTCGAGCCTCAGCTCTACCAGTGGGGAAATACATATCGTAGGTCCGTAGCTGGAAAATACACCGTCGTCCCACCATCGTCCTACGGTACCGGTACCGTGGAAACCAGGCAGCGTGCCTGGTTCGTAGTGTAACTACTTACCATACGGCCGTATGAAATACCTACCGGTCGAGGAGATTTTTAGGGGAATCTACTGCAATGCCAACAGTGCTGCTGCCGCTGCCGCTGCTGCCGAAGAGATATCCGGAATACCCCCCCCCCCCCCCCCCCCCCACCATCCCACCCCAGCAAGCACGAGCCCGGAGACCTACCTTGTACCTACAGACTACAGTCTTCTTGGTGCCGATATATGTAGTACTACATACATACATACATGCCAGTTGTCACGACCCACGACGAACCCGTGGCCACACGTGTGATGGTGTGACGTCTCCGACGCACTGGTGGCAGCCTGGCAGGTGGATATCAATGCAGTACCGTAGGTAACTGTGCATCGAACCGGCCACGTCGTTGAACGGTGTCGTTGTGCATGTACGTATGATATGTATGAGGTATGTATGATATGTATGATATCGGCCAGACCTGCGGCCAGCGGCCAGGCTACGCGGTACAGCTCATCTTGATTCTTCGCCGGCATTGCAGACCGCACTCCCGATCCGGGGACACTTGGAAGTTGGTCGGCTCTGGGGTCGTTCTCAATATCCTTCGGTGGCAGTTACGACGACGGAGAGAAGTTGCTCGGAGTCGGCCGTTTGCAAATTCCAAAATTGCACCGAGGAATTGATATTGACGGTCCACGGATGGACCTGCACTGCTGGTGGGTGGATAGTGAGACTCGTGTATAGTATGGTACATACTTCCCATAATTTAGCCTCATAAATCTCGCATCAAATATACGCATCTCCAGACTCCAGATCTATCATCTTTGTCCGCGCACCATCACATCACATCCCATCCCACCACCACCACCACCTAAGATGCATAAGCTCGAAAGTTCGAAACAAAAAAAAT